CTTGAAGACTGACATATGTTGTAACAATTAACAATGCTATCCACTGAGGCCTGCGAGCCTTCCTTTTTTCTTCAATAAAAAAGATTTACAAAAAAAAAAAAAAATAGAATGGGTCTGTAAGAACCGTCTGGCTTTGGAACAAAAAAGAGCCTTGAATAAGTGCCCAAGAATCTTTCTTTTAATTGCACACTTTCTATCACATTCTTTTGAAGAAGCTTTGACTGTTCTCCCATAAGAGCTTTTTCTGTTGCAGTCAAGTGGACTGAAGGGCATAAACATTTTCTTCTTGGGATCTCTGATAGATCCAGGTAATAACCATTCCTTTTCACTGAAAGAATCCAGTGATCCGAGGTAGTTTTCTGCCAGAAATCCAGAAAGTGTGTGAGACTTCCGCCAACAGGAATGGGATTGTAAGTTTCTATTCTATTCTTTTGTTTGAAAACTTCTCTTTTCTCTTGTAATCAAACACCTTCCTTTGTTGACCTCCATAACAGTTTCTCCGAAAGGAGCATCTGTCAGCGTATTGGACTCTAAAAAACCTTTTGTTCCAATGCTGCTTCCTGTTGTCTTCTGGTACAGCTTTCTTACCATCCTTCATTTGCTTCAAAAGATCATCTAGTTTGGAACCAAAAAGTCTGCCTGGTTCAAATGGTATGTCACATAGAGAATTTTTGGATGCTGAATCAGCCGATCAGTTTTTCAACCATATAGCTCTTCTTGCCACAGTGGATAAACCCATAGCCTTAGCCGAGATCTTCAGACTTTCTAAAGAGGAATCAACTAGGAAGTCAGATGCCATCTTGATATTTTGTAACAACGGGACTGGATCTTCTTTGGATTCAACCGCATAAATCTTTTCTAATTCTTCCAGCCAATGTTTCTGTGCCTTTGCCTTGAAGTACCTGCAATCAGTGCTTTGCATTGAGATGCTGAGGAGACAAACAGTTTCTTCAAAGAAGAATCAATACGTTTTTCCATAGCATCTTTTAAGCCACTTGAATCCCCTTTAGGTAAAGTGGTCTTCTTTCCCAGCTGAGCTATAGGGATGTCCACTGATGATAAAGGATCCAAGAGGCACTCAGGATCCTCACTGATGGAAAATAGAGCTTTAAAATGTTTAGAAATGAAAGGCTTCCCTTCTGTGAATTTCCATTCTCTTAGAATCAAATCCTTGAACTGTGGATGAAAAGGAAAAACCTTGGATTTCTTACCTTTGCTCTTGAACTGTTCCTCATCACCCATCAGAAACTGTACTTCCTTAACTAATTTTCCAACAGATTCCTCTGGAAAAGAAAATTCTTCATCAGAAGAATCACTAGAATCCTCATCTCTGGATTTTGAAACTGACAATACAGAGCTTGTGTCAGACAATTCCCATGACATGCTCTAGGCCTTTTCTTAGCTGGATATTTTACTGCAGAATCTTGGGAAGCAGAGGCCCGAGCAGACTGAACGGCTGCAGACTGCATTTCAACAAATGTTTGTTGCAAACTTTGCTGGAACCAACTTAGGAAAGTTGTCATTTACGATTTCTTTGCTTCCTCAGAAGCCTCTTTAGTACAATTGGAACAGATCTTTCGCTTATATCCATCTAGCATGGGTTGGAAACACGCAGCACAGATTAAATGTTTAGAGTTCATAGAACATTTCCATTTCTCTGAAGCTCTCTCCACAGTCTCAAGATTAGACATACTTGAGAAAAAGAGAGAGAAATATTAACCAAAATAAATTTTTTTTTACAATTCAGGCTAGACTCATAAGATAAAAGCAAAAAGTCTTACCTTAAACGGCCTCAAAGTATGTTGGAGGGCAGGTGAGAACACACTTGCAACAGATTCTGAGTGCACCTGGCAAATAGTTAATTGCTGCTGGTTAAATAGCCTCTCAAAGTCCTGGAAACCAAAATTCCACGGTGGAACGCATCACAACCTCCTAGCTAGTACACGCATGCGCACCATAGTCTGCCCGGCACCTGGCGCGGTATAGACAAAACCAAACATATACCAAACATATACAGGAGGAATGCAGACTTGCTTACCCCTGGAAGGATATGTGGAGAAATACCAGCATAGAAAGTGAAGCAGAGCATCCCGAGCCTTAGCCCTCTCACCATACTCCTGGGGCTGTTTGAGGTAAGAGGCACTTTATAGTGCCAAAGGTAAATAGGGGGAAGTACTTGACAATTTTGGGGCTTGCCTGCCTGTTTTTTCCCTCCAAATTAGAAATCCCTGTTGTAAAGCACTGCCTCTAATCTGAAGGGAAAAATAATGTTCCACATCATGATGTTCATATTGGCAGATGTCAAAGGCTCAAAATGCCAGAACTATGTTGATTTCCCAAGGAGATATAATGTATAAGAGTCGGCACCAGATTAGAGACTGCTTTCACAAATCATAAAACTAGCGACTAAAAGGCCAGGCCCATAAAGAATAGAAGTGTAAAGCAGATATCTGGACTTTCAAAGAAGCTGAATGTAGGCCTTTGGAGAAACGCAACAGCATAAATGTGAGACTATTCAGGACAGACTCTAAAAGTGGATAAATCTAACAATTATAATACCATGTCAGACATGTGTTTGAAATTCTGGAATAGACTGAGGAGTCTGGACAGCCTGGAGAGTAACAGAACAGATGCCCAGAAAAATCTGATGAAGATTGAAATGGAACCAACTGAAGGATGTAATTTTAGAAAGTTTCAAATAATTTGCAGAAACAGGAGCAACATAGCTTCTTTTAGTAGCCATCAGGAAGGGAATGGTTATAGATCTTATCCGTTTTGTCTTATCTAGGGCATTGCCTTTCTCCACAGGCTTCTCAGTCGGATACAAGTAGTATTGGACTTACACAGAAGAAAAAGGAAAAATACAATCTAACTAAGAGTGCAATAAAGAAAAAAAAAAAATACTAATACCATGTACAGCCTAAAAATGTACTGGAGGGCAGGTGAAAGCACACAGTAAATATGTGATGCAGAAAAGACATATACTGCTCAATTTTAAGAACATAAAATTGCATTGTGTATACACGCTGCAATAGTCAATGAATCACATCACCTGGACATGCACTCCACTTAATGAAATGTCCTCAGTTTCAGCCCATGGCTACGGCACACACAGTGGGCATGTCACATTTGCATACTTTGTTAAGACCTAAATGTGACAGCTTAAATGTGTTTGTTATATAAATGTCAATACAACGTTGCCATGCGAAGAAGGTAAACCTGCACCAATGTTTATTTCCAAAGGAGCTTGAGATACAGAAATAATGGGCAGAGCAGGACTCGACAAATCCAAGGTCGTCAACGTAACTAGAAATTTTGCCCTGGCGCCTTTGATTTGCCAGCTCTTTAGTTAATGTGGTTGAGGGAGCTTTGAAGGCGGCTGGCTGAGGCTGTATAGAGCCAGCGCATGAGGGAGCAGAAAGAAGCTGCAGGAATATTACTGCTCCTTCGCATGAAGAGAGTAATGATGCCGGGAGCTGGATTATGATGTCACTCCGGCCCCGGCATCATTAGAGAGCGTGCAGGGAGCAGAGAGGAGATGCAGGTAGAGTACTGCTCCCTCGCACACATTAAGAGAGCAGCGCCACTGGACCCCAAAAGGTAGGGAGGCTGAGTGGGTTTCAATTAAAACAAAAATGTGAATGAGAATGTCAGTGAGTGAGTGTGTAGAAGTTTTTACTCACCTTTTTCCCCCCACCCTGTGCCAGTTTTGCCGTGGCTGGTACCACCTCCATAGTGGAGATTGTCAATCTTTATGATCTCAGCTAAGCCAATGCTTTCCCTTAGGAAATCATTGGGGGGATTTTGTGCATGCGTAGCAAATGTGCCAATTCGCATCTCCTCACAGTTGCATTAAATTAATGAATCTCTATGAGGAACATTCAACGCCTCCATGCAGAGCTTGGAGACACTGAACCAGGGTAGTACACATGGTGCAGCAGTGACCCAGGGCTTTCTAGTGGCTGTCTGAGTGACTGTCACTAGAGGTGTTACTAAGCAGAAATATAAACACTGAAAAGACTGCAGGGACAGGCTATAGACACCAGAACAACTACACCAAGCTGTAGTGGTTCCAGTGACTAGTATCCCTTTAAGAATTGCATTTTTCTCGTTGAAAATGTCTTGCTCCTAGATTCCAAACAAATTAGTCAAGCCCTGGGGCAGAGAAATAAAAGCCCTGGGGGTATTTACCAAAGTGTTCTGTTCTAAAAAGCATTGCAAAAATGTAAAGGGGAAGAGTCACCAATGGAATGATCTTGCTGGTCCCACTGGTTTCCATGGCGATTTCCCCACCTTTTGTCACCAATTTAATTTCTCTTCTTTTCAGTGTTCTTTCGGTATGCGATCTCTGTGCTGATTGCCAGGTGCAAAAGACAGAGCTTAGAACAATGAGTGTCAGGCAGGGAGCCAAGATGGACATGCCCATTTGCAAGATGAAGAAGTTTGGATTTCATTTTGCACACCTTGCAAATACATATTTATTAAATATAAGTGAAAATAATATTATATAATCCTTGGAAGGGACAGTATCTATTAACTGATTGTTGGCACTGAAGTTATACCCTAAGAGAGCATATATATATATATATATATATATATATATATATATATATATATATATATATATATATATATATATATATATATATATATTTTTTTTTTTATTTTTTTTTTTTTTCGAATAGCTGAGCAGAAGCTTAATGCTTTAATTTAAAGGCAAAGTGAAAATTAGGTTTGAAATATAAAAGCAGTGGTTTAGATTTGTACAGTAAACGTGCAGTAATGAAAACAATCTAGATAAAATAAGTTTTTTGTCAAGCAAGCAGCAAATTGTACTCCAAGTGGGACAACTATATTGTATGTATATAAAACATGAACCCCTATCCATTTCCATGGAATAGCAAATGTATGAAATCTGAGGATAAGTTTATCTGCGAGAGATCAAACTAGTGCCCTTGGAAAATAAGGTCTTGAAACAAAAATATTCTTCATACCATCAATTAAAAAAGACAATTTAAAATTTTATTGTGACAAAAGGAACAAAGATTCTGTACACTGTACTCACAAATTATACTGAAGTAATACACTGGTTTGGTGTGAGTTAAGTAAATCTATATATATACACAGTCATACAGCCTCAAGGACTGAAGCTAACAAAGTTTTTCCCGGTGGGACAAATTACTTGTGCAAATATATAAGCAGACAACAAGCTCTTTCTTTTTGCTTGCAAATAGTTTTACATCAACTTCTTCCACAAAATACTCTTGCACAATATAAAAAGCTACCACAAAAATATGTATTTTGCACACCATGCAAAATACCCAATATGAAGATTTAGTGAATTGTTCAGGTTTTTAATAAGCAGCAGCATGACCAATTAATATCCAGGAACTTGTAGGAGCAGGCCTAAAATAAATATAAAGAGGAGTGCTGGGTCGCACCCAAACACGTTTAAGACATGTGGTACTAGTTAAACATTGTGCTTTGCTGTTGGTAGCCTGGTCAGTAGTATCCTCCAGTACTTTTTGTGATATTTTTCCCACGTGTATATGGCTTCAGGTGTTTAGTCCCAGAGTTTGATCAGGCCGTCCCATCCACACGTGATAACTTTGGATGTTTCATGAGGATGCCAAACTGCACCTATGCAGACTTTATCGTGAGCCTTTAGCTTACTGTAAAGTTTTGTGGTTTTCCAGTCCCAGATATTTAGCTTCCCATCAGCATCACCAGAAACCACATAGCTGAAAAAAATAAAATAAAAAAAAACTGTAAATACACCAGTACCTTTCATGTAACCTGTTTACAAAACTAAGATCCTGGATCCGATAGTGTAGCACTGTAACATTCATACATGCAAGTCACACATACACACAAGGACTGAATAACAGACATTTGTGCCTCTGGCAAAGTTTGGTCTTGGCCCCATTTGAAGGTACTATTGCCTATAATCAGCTGCCTATGAGTGGAGGTGGGCCCGGCTAAAGGGAGAGCATTTGTGGTTGGTCGGCCAACCATCTGATAGAGCGTGGGGTGTTCGCACGGGCGGGAGGCTCCTGGAGGATTGAGACAGACGGGCATGTGCACGAGGGAGCTGTAACCTTCCTCCCTGCTCTGCTCCTTCGCGCAACCTCCAGTGATGCTGGGAGCTGACGTCATGATGTCATTCCGGCCCCAGCATCACTAAAAGCGCTCTATGGAGCAAAACAGGGAGATGACTGAAGCCCCACTGGACCCAAAGGAAAGCCGAATTACTTCAGCTCCAGATAAGGAGGCGGGGTGGTCACCTTAATGTGTGTTGTTATTGCAGTGACCGTGAATGTAAGTGCGTCAGTGGGTGAGTGTGTGTGTGTCAGTGAGTGAGTGTGTGTGTGTCAGTGAGTGAGTGTGTGTGTGTGTGTCAGTGAGTGAAAAGGCAGGGTTTACATTGAAACGTGTGCAGGGACAGGTTATAGACACGAGAACAACTGCATTAAGCTGTAGTGGTTCTATAGTGTCCCTTTCAGAATTGTATTTTTCACGTTGAAAAACCTGGTTCCTAACTTATTTTTGCTGGTTCCCAGATTCCAAGCAAATTTGTCAAGACCTGGTCTAAATATACAATTAACATCATAGATTATTTTATCATGCTACACAACTCCATTGCATTTGTATTTAAGAATGCTGCTAGTGAAAGCAGTGCAAACCAGTAGGGATATTTATTGTGTCTGCATATTGTAAAGAAGGAGACAAACCTATTCAAAACACATTTATTTTCTGTGTGTGACTTAGGTGGTTTTAAATAAGCAGGGCCAAAGGTTACTTAGTCCTTACATTAACACAAGACCCGACAACAGGAGACATTAGAAAAAAGAAAACAAAAATGTAATAAAAAATTAATTTATACCAAGAATACAGAAGCATGCAAGAGTATATTAAACACGAACATATACACATGTGTGCTCACCTCATATCTGGTGAAAAATCAACTTGACAAGCATAGCCAGCCACCATATGGCCCTTGAATATTTTCTTCTTGTTCAGTCTGAATCTGTTCTGGGCACCAAATATTAATATTTGATTGTCCATTGATTGGCAGGCTAGCCATTTACCTGTAGATTACAGAAATATATCAGTGAGTTTCCATTATTACATAGCCTTTTCTTTCTTGTGCTTTTATTACTGTTAATATACAGTACAGAATAACATTTAAAAAACACACACGTCTTACGTACTGCAGCAATACACATATATATATATATATATATATATATATATATATATATATATATATATATATATATATATATATATATATATATATATATATATATATACACACACATACATACATATACACACACACACATACATACATATTATATATATTTATTTATTATTGGGCCAGGTCAATTTGATTCTAACCTCTATAAAGGGACACTATAGTCACCAGAACAACTACAGCTTATTGAATTTGTTCTGGTGAGTAGAATCATTATCTTAAGGCTTTTTGCTGTAAACACTGTCTTTTCAGAGAAAATGCAGTGTTTACATTACAGCCTAGTGATAACTTCACTGGCCACTCCTCAGATGGCTGTTAGAGATCCTTCCTGGGTTATGGCTGACTAAAATGCATCCTAACATTCCGTATCTCGTCCCTCTGCATGCAGACACTGTACTTTCCTCATAGAGATTCATTGATTCAATTCATCTCTATGAGGATATGCTGATTGACCAGGGCTGTGTTTGAATCATGCTGGCTCTGCCCCTGATCCGCCTCTTTTTCAGTCTCAACCAATCTTATGGGGAAGCACTGTGATTGGATCAGGCTACCACTTCTGATGTCAGCAGACTGCTCGTTTTCTATTTAGGCAACCAGCATGCAGAGTTACAGCTTCTGACTTGAATTCAGTAAGATTTTGCTATATTTATGGAGGCATGAGGGGCTCTTTGTCAGTCTCAACCAATCCTATGGGGAAGCATTGTGATTAGATCAGGCTACCACTTCTGCTGATGTCAGCAGGTAGTGGGCAGGTCTAAAGGAAACAGGGACATGTAAGCAGCTGCAGACTTGAATACAGGTAAAGATTTTACTATATTTAGGGAGGCATGAGGGGACCATGGGGGCTAGATGGTGGTTTTAACACTATAGGGTCAGAAATACATGTTTGTGTTCCTGACCCTATAGTGATCCTTTAAGCATGTCTTATAAAGCCTTATTTGTTCATTTGTTTAAAATCTTCACTTCTCAAAGACTTCCTTTCATCCAACTCTTGGTCTTATACCATCTATACAGCTTGGTGAATATAAAAAAAAAGTATTTGAAATTACTCGAAAAATCAAGCTGAAAGTTTGAAAAACTATTGTTTTGCTATATGCTGTCAAACTATAGTAAGACAAAAACCAACAGCCCGCATTACACATTAATCATATTTTGTGGTGTAACTATAATGGACAGATTAGTATGTTGAAAAGCATTCCAAGGCATATCTTTGTCTTTATTTGTGCCCTACTTGCCTCCACTGGGCATGCTAGATATTTACATATATATCTATGCATTCCTAGTACTTTGATCTTAGATGAGGCATAGAGGAAAATTATTGCATCCCAATAAAACTTTAAATTCATATAGTATATTTGCCAAGAGATCTGCATATAAATCTGACTAACTCTGCTACAAACGTCACAGTGCTCATCTGGCATTAAACATACACACGCTAGTAAAACACTAAACATTTTACAGCTGCAGCTGAATGGAGATGTACTTTATCAGAATCGCAGGGTTTTAAATGTCACAATTTTATGCCACAGTGTTGCATATAAAAATATTAGGGATGGTGGCAAGAACAGATATAAAAATTATGTAACAAACGGAATAGAAGCATTAAAACGTTCAAATAAAAATAGAAAAGATTTAGTGACACAGATCTATATCACTATTATAATCTTGTTTTGTGCATAATTTTTAAGAGCCAAGAAAACTTTAAAGTTTTCTTTTCTACACTACAAACATATAGGTTTAATTAGCAATGCTGCTAAAAGATAAGCAGTTACTATGGAAACCAAACACCCCATTACCACCATCATAGGTTTAAAAATAGTAGCAGATCATTTTACATGAAATGTGGGCTGCATAGCTGGCATTTAATAATAATAATGCAAAACAGTACTTTTGTGTATAAATTGTTCAGAAGATGTTCAGAGATGCATACAATGTATACAATTTTACCATTTATACATTTATCTTTTAAAACTCTTGATCCCTGAACATATCTGAACTAAATACATTATACAGTATTGTTTATCCAAATACTTTGGAAAGGGTCTGAAATTTTAGCATGGAAAAGTAGGTTGGTGTGAAAAACATACGATCAAACACCTGCTTATGTGAATAGGAGAGAATCTTTCTGGAATTACTAGCAATATAGCCTCCTAAAAATGTCAATAGAATGATACATTAAGTAATGCCCATTTGTGCATAATGCTTGTATACAGTAAGTATATTTTTTCCCCAAATTTGTTCTTTATTGTTCTCAAGTAACTTCTGGGGTACAGAAAGGAAGAAGGGAGGGGATAAGACATTTATTTTAGATGGCATCACACTGTTCACATACTGGAAGTTCTGTCGCATGGTTTCCAACAGTGTATGTGTGTCATTTACGGCCCTTGCGTCAACATTTGTCTTGGTCAATTTGGCTCACTGCACCTGAACCTATTGTGGTGCTTGAGTGGTATTCCTGTCGTGCATGGCCCATTATACCCCTAGGATCTTGCCATGTTTGGGCCGACCATCTCACATTTCGGTGTGGTGTGTGTGCCTGTTAGGTCTTTTGTCAACAGGAGCTGGCCCTTTGGATACCGCTCTAACTCATGGCACGTCAGATATCCTATTTTCCTTGGAGTCATGTTTGTTTCTCTGTGCGGTGGGTCATGCTCTCGGGTGGTGATTTTTCTTTAGTGTTCGGGTGTTGGGGAGGGATAACTGGGGGGTGCCGCGAAGGGAGGCGTGATAAGTGCCTGTACCGGGGTGATGTTACATCGGGGTCTAACTTAATAATGCATCTACCGTTGTGGGGGGCTAACCTGCAGGGTCTGTGTGTTGGAGACTCCAGACATGTGAGCCCTAGAGTACCCACGTTGTGTGGGTAGTTGTAGTGTAAGCTCTTTGCCTGTTCAAGGTTGAGTGAACTCTGGTAAGATTTGTTCTTAGTTTATTGTAGGTAGGTCTTCCACATAGTGGCTATGGTGGAACTCCTTTTCCCTATTTTCATTTGGTTCCACATAATGAGTTCGTAGACCACTGTCAAGGACATTAGAGTTGTAATTTCATGGGGAGGAGGGCAGGTTTGGGGTCTTTAAATATCTGGCAATTAACGTTGACATTATACTTAGCAGGAGGAATATCATTTTCTAAATGGGCTTGGGGATGCCCTCTGGCAGGACTTTGAGTAGGAATGTCTTTGGCGTGTGTTCAATCTCGTAGGCCGTAACCTCACGAATCAGTGTTATAACTTCCTTCCATAGGGTGTTCACTCTTTCGCACGTCCACCATACATGTAGCATGGTCCCCCTGTGTGAATGGCATCTCCAGCACGTATCGGTCGTTGCAAGGTAAATGGAGCGCAGGAGAGAGGGCACCATATACCATCTGTATAGTATCTTCCATGATGTTTAGAAGTGTGTTCCGCATGTTGATAATCCCTCATGTGCTGTGAAGATCTTCTCCCATTCTCTTGGAGGAATAGTGTCTTGGAAGTCAGTTTGCCAGGCTGACACAAATTTCCAGGCAATTTCTACATCGGGGTTTGCGAGATTATAGTAACAAGTGGATAGTGTTTTCCTTGGGAAGTATTGATGTGCACTGCTGTTCAAACTTCGTGATGGAGGCTCATAGTGACTGCTTCCTCACGTGTATCTTATTGTTAGTCAAAATTGCTTTGATTTGAAGGTAAGCAAAAGTATAGTTAGAGGGGAGTGCAAATTCAGTTTGAAGGTCTGGGAAGGGCCTCAGACCCGCAGTTGTGATAGGTGGTACAAGTGCGTTATTCCCAGTTGGTCCCATTTTTGGTATGGGAATGCGCCGTTGCAGTTGTATAAAGGTTTTAATCGGGGCGGCCAGGGACCACGGATGTGCCGAGAACAGTTTGTCTCTACACGAGTCACAAATTTTCAACAGGTGCCTGGTAATGGGTAGTGTTTTTGAGGAAATTGTTCTCAAATGTTGGGGTGTCCACAGCAGTGTCCTTCTATTTCAACCCATTGGGAGGTGTATCTGGTTTAGTGTGTGCTGACTACGTTTGTTAGGTGGGCTGATTGATAGTATACTTTCAAATTCAGGAATCCCATGCCCCCGCATTTCACATGTCTCAAGAGTAGTCCTTTAGTAACTCGAGGATGTTTCCCTCCCCAGCTGAATCGATGGAGGATCGTTTGTAGACTTTTAAAGTATGTTTGTGGTATTTTGATTTGCAGTGGATCTGAAGAGGTAGAGAATCTTGGGCAGGATTGACATCTTGATCGCTGCAATTTTCCCTACCCAGGACAGGAATGTGGACTTCCAGGTCTGAAGCTGCCTTTCAATCTCCTTTAGTAGTTTGGTGTAATTTGCGGAGAATAGTTCATTGTCCTTTTTAGTAATTTTAATACCTAGGTATACCAGGTGGTCTCCTCTCCAATCAAATCAATAGGCAGACTTTAGTCGCTACTCCAAGGATTTTGGAACGTTGAGGCACATTGCTTGTGTTTTGGAAATATTGAGTTTGTAGTATGACTGTTGGATGTATGTGTGGAATGCGCTGTGAAGGGTGGGGAATGTCCTACTAACACTCACATAACCACTCATTACGTCATCTGCAAAGAGAGTGAGTTTGTACTCTGTTTGGCCCACTGTCACTCAAAATATGTAATCGTTATTCCGAATGGCTATGGCCAGGGGTTCCAGGGCCAGAACATAGATGAGGGGGGAAAGGGGACATCTCTGTCTAGTTCGGTTGGTGATCAGGAATGGTTGTGAACAGAATCCTGAACGCATCACTGTTGCCGTGGGATTACTGTACAGGGCTTTAATTACCGAGAGGAAGAGGGGTGGGAATCCGTATGCTGTTAGGGTTTTCTTTTAGGAAGTGCCAGTTCAGGCGATCAAATGCATTTTCAGTGTCCAGAGAGAGCATAATGCTGTCCTGTTTGGTTTTCTTTATGAGTTTGTATAAGTCTAGTACTTTCCTTGTATTATCTGGGCCTTGTCTGCCTGTTATGAATCCCACTTGGTGGGTGTGTACTAAGGTCGGTAATATGTTTTTAAGTGTGTGTAGATTTTTGCATAGTGCTTAGCAGGGAGATCGGTCTAAAATTCTGGCATGTAGTCAGGGGTTTCCCCAGTTTAGGGATAGTGATAACGTGCTGAGAGGAACTCTGTCGGGAGGGTTCCCGTCTGGGTTGCCTCGTTAAAGAATTGGGTGACGTGTGGCCAGTGTGTGTGTGTGAATGTGGCGTAGTATATGTTTGTGAGTCCGTCAGGTACCGGCGCTTTCCTTTTAGGCATCAAGTCTGTGGTGTTGTACTTCATCTGTGATAATAGGTGCAGTGAGCTGCGTTGATTGTTGTTCTTGTATGGTGGGAAGGGCAAGCTTGTTTAGGTATGAGTGTATCGAGGTAGGTGTAGGTTGAGGTGTGTTGTGTTGTTCTTTCAGATTATATAAGGTGCCATAATAGCGTGCAAATTCATTGCATATCTGTGTGGTCTGTATCACTTTTTGTCCAGAGTTTGTGTGGAGGAATGGGATTCTTGTCTGTGCCTGTCTGTCCCGTAGTCTCTGGGCCATCACTTTTGTGGCTTTGTTACCCATGGTGTAGGATGTAGCTTTAAACTTCTGCATTGGGGTACATCACGTGGTTGAAATCCACAGATATAATCGTTGTGCCCGTTTGTAGCTTCGTCACTTGGTCTAGAAGGGTTAGCATGAAGCTTTTCTGGTTCTAGTTTGGGAAATAGGAGTTCACTATTGTATATGTGGTGTTATATAGTGTGCATGTCAGTATTATAAATCTACCTTGGGGGTCCAGATGCACTGCAATTTGGTCGAAAGCCAGTCTATGGCTCAGTAAGATGGATACTCCCCTACTTTTGGTTGGGGAAGTAGCGTGGTATTGGTGAGGGAAACTTTTGAGGCCAAGTATTGGCTTGGAATTGTGTCTAAAATGGGTCTCCTGCAGACAAATAACATTGGCTTGGGAGCTCTGCAGCTCTTTAAGGAGGGTGTAGAGTTTGTGGGGTGAGTTTAGTCCCTTAACGTTGTGTGTGTATATTTTCATGTTGCGTGAGCAGTGAGTTGAACTGAAATATTTGCGTTAGTAGTGTGGTAACGAGTTTGGCCTTTGTCAGGTGCCTTGGGGTGAGGTTGTCTTGTGGTAGGTTTGTGTTTGTATTTCAAGCAGGTGGCCGTCTGCAGATCTGTGAGTGTTTTAGGCCAGTTAGTGTTGTCCTGACGGTGTCTCTGTATTCAATATGTCTCTCTAGACCCAGTGTATATTTCTGAACTGGGCAGAGAGCGAAGTATGTCCCGGTGCTTGGGAGGGTATTGCAAACGTGGGTATAGTATACCCGCCATTCTTCGTTCAGTTTCCGAATTGTGCTTGTACTCTTGGCCTGTTGGTTCTGGGGTATGCCCCACTTGCGTAGCTGTTCTGCTCCTCCTTCAGTCGAAGCAGCCGTCATTAGGAGCTTGGCTGGGTACCCCCATTTGTAGGTGATGTTGCGAAGTCTGAGTGTTTCGGCAATGTCCTTATATGACCACCAACACCTTAGCGTTTCTGCAGAGAGGTCCATGAACATGAGGATGTCTTTGAATTTTTCGGGTAATCCTTTCCTGGTCCTATGGACGTGTGGAATCCGGTCTTTTAAGTGGTAATAGTGTAGCCTCATGAGTAAATCTCATGTTGTTGAGGGCGGTAGGTGCTGTGGTCTTGGCACTCTTTGTATGCGATGTAGGAGGAGCATGTCAGCTGGAACATCAGGTAGCAGTGCCCGGAACAGCTCAATAGTGTAAGCTGTCAGGTCTTTAATCCCATGTCTTCCGGTACTCCTCTTAGGCGGATATTGTTGCGATGGGACCTGTCTTCCATGTCAATGAGTTCGGATTCATGGGCTATCAGTTTTTCCTCCATCTTGTCTATGCGTTCCCCCATGGCGTTGTGGGTGTTGGTGAGGCCCTCCATACCATTCTCTATTTGTGAGGTACGAATACGTAAGTCGGTAAGGTCTCTTAATGTCGGTGATAGCTTCTGTGACCGTGGTCTGCATTTTGGATACTGCTGCATCCAGCATAGGTTGAAGCAGTTGCTGTGTGAGCGGAGTATCAGTGTGCTTCCCATGTGTTCCCGCCTGTTCGGTGTCCGAGTTGGAGCAGGCGCCATCTTGGGCCTGATGCTCAAGATTATTAAAGTGATAAACACAAAATCTTTGCACTCTAGCTTAAAACACAACCTATTAGTTTTGCCTGGGTGCAATCCCTGTGTAATATGTATAAAACCAAAACAAAGGGAACACTCTCAGGACTTTCACGAGTGTAAATGTAATGTAACAATGTGTTACACCATAGTGATCAAACTTTCAAGTTTCAGAACTTTAAGGATTTGAACACATATACATAAAGTGTATTGCTCACAATTTCATTTTGCCACTAGCAAGTGAAAATCCATCCCTTGTGAGTGGGACATAGATCTTTCAGGCTTGCACTGGTGAGTATTACCTAGTGGCATAAACCTTTGAAATGATGGTTGGATTAGAGTAATCCTTTAAGGATGCATACATGATCTCCAGAAACATACATACATTTACCAGTATCTACCTAGTCAGCGTGTTGTGATATTTTAAGGTTCTTTTAAAAGATTAAAATTGTACAGGTTTACTCACCATTGGGTGACAAGGTCACAGCAGGCATGGAGTGCATGCTTGGTTCTGCAATGTATTTGAAATCCACAGGAATATCCCTTTAAAAATAAAATTACTCATGTAATTAATAAAGCAATTCCAATGTCTCATCTATATTCAAAGACAGTGTACAGAAACAAAAATATACTAAAATAAGAAAAATCTACAAAATTGCACTAACTACTGGAGTTTAATTAAAATACAAATGTAGGCAGAATTTGGATCCATAAAGGAATGAACAAAATAACACTTGCAAATGAAAAAAAGGATACCATATGTTTGATGAGCGGATATGCTAAGGGAAAAAAAAGGTGACCTTCTATAGGACAAACACACAAAGCAAACCTGTTCTTAGCATGTTGAAAGATGCTGCCACTTAAAATTTAGCTCACAAACATTACTTGAACATATATGTACAATTTACTGATACACACATCATACCCTGCTGAATACAGTTATAGTACACAGAACTTACCACTCCCAAACTCTTAAACTCTTGTCATCTGATGTGCTCACAAAGCGTCTGTTCTCATCCACAAAGGTTATGGTGTTCACCGCTCCTAGATGTCTGTCATATTCTTGGACTATCTCTCCACTGCGAATATCCCACTACAATTGGTAAACCAGATTTGTACATCATTTTTTTTAATTTTTTTTTTTTAAATGAGATTTCATTACAATACCCCACCAAAAATAACAATTTTACCTCTTATTTAACACTAATATATGATACCTAAAAGTAACAAACTCCCCTAGTACTATATTTGCAAAAAATAGTGCTTCTATATGTCTACTTTTAGACCCAGATGTCGGAGTAGGAGTCTATAAAACAACTAAGATACTGCGCAGAATCGTGGCTCCCAGAACTCTACATATACATACACCATTATGCCACTAAAGCTTTTGAGTGGCTGTGTCTGCATATGTCATTTATAATTATACTCACTTGTACAATTTTCTTGTCTGACATCCCAGCCACAAAGAGATTCTGTTTATCTTCATCCGGGTTGAATTTTACACAGTAAGGAACTTTCCGGTTTGTGAATCTGGATATGCACTGGCCTAAATAAAAGGAAACATTTATGTACAATCACTGCGGCACACAGTGTAACTATGAACATTTTTAATGACTAAGTTATAATAGCCGCGCTGAGGCAGCTGACATATATATGTTATTTAACACTGGTAACAGCACAGCTCTATGAAATTAACATTTAAGTTGTTATAGGGATAGGTGTGTCCAGACTCTTTTCTACCTTCAGGGGTAAAACCATTTTGCAACTCCTTGCCATTCTCCCTGGCTCTGCAATAGTACATACTATTTCTCTCAATGGGCTGAGACTCTCAGACTAACACTTCCTCATATTGCAGCGTCATAACAAAAGGAAGATACTGAATAGAGAATAATGGAGAACGGATCTGGAATTTTAGGCAAAAATTGTGAAATTAAATATCATCTTAGGTGGAATTTCCTTTAAATCCTAATTTTCCAGGTTATTGAAAACAACATTACAAAAAATAAATAAATAAAAGAAACCAGCAACAAGACGATTTGCTACCAGTTTTAATGCTTTTTCACATTACCTGTTTCTGTGTCCCACAACTTAAGATAACGATCATAAGCTGCACTTAGGAACTGAGTTCCAGCATTGTTGAAGCAGATGTCTCGAACAGCTTTACTGTGTCCTGAGCAATGATAAAGAGAAGAAGCAAAATCATACCGCTGAGCATCAATCAAACCACAGACTGGCAAGAGAATTCAGATCTTCCCAAGCTTTAAATTCATCACAGGGATGGGCTTCACTAGATCCAAGTCTTATATCTCCTGCTGCACACAAGGAATGCTTTGCAGTATAATAAATATGAACCTCCATGTGTTACAGAAAACAATACACATGTTCAAAAGCAGTGTATATGTTCATATATCTCAAACCAAAAAAAAAAAAAAAATTCAAATTCAATGTATAGCAACCAAATCGTAAACCCCCCCTCCCCCCCAAAAAAAACAATGATGTTGGCTACATCCATAAATGCGTCTTGGTGAGTCTTCATATTTAAAAATTAGAAATTGACTACAGATTTTGTATATGTACAGCATATATGTAAACATCACATTATACGATAATTTTTCAGAACACTAAACACCCACACTAAGAAATATGAAAAAGCAGTATCCAATATGTATATTTATCTACCACGAGCATCTTTAACAGACATTTTTAACATTACAACAAGATGTATGGTAACTATTCCTCTAAAAGTTCAAATAAATTATTCACATCAATAGTCATAAATGAAAACCATCAGATTAATTTCCAGCCATACGTTTTGCAAAAAATATATACTGCATATCACTAAGTACCAATAAATGTCCGCAAACATCTCCGGTCCTTGTATACTTCCCAGAGCTGTAGGAAAAAAACAAAACAAAAACAAAAAACCCTTTAGATTTCAATAACACTGATTTCACTAAATAGGGGGAGAGTCTAGGAACAACACCTTCAAGCAATTTCATCTATATTTGTAATAATTTAACAGCACTGAATATACTATTACCATCTTCCGCCCAAGCTAAACATCCGAGTGACTGCCACTAAAGGGGTCCCTAGGGAGCAATGTAAATACTGCATTTTCTCTGAATAGGCAGTGTTTACAGCACAATGCCTGTAGGGACTGACTATACTCACCAGCGCAATTACATTAAGCTGCAGTTGTTCTGGTGACAATAGTGTCCCTTTAATATCAATGTAATTGCTCTACTCTTAGCACTTTGCATCTTAACAGCGTTCAGTTTTGCAAATGATTTTAGGGAAGTAACACTCCTTCGTGCTAATGCCACACTGCAGTGTGTAGAATGTGTATGGTGCAGAAGGAAAATCAATTAAGAATTACAAAAAGGAAGTGCCTTGATTAATGAATTGAGTTCCTGCATGCTACAGGGCTGTACTTTATTTGCTGCTCATCAACATGTTACATGTGAAGGAAAACATTGTGGATTAAGCAACCCTTAATGTGCTTTCTTTCTTAGACAATCTTCTAAAAGTTCTAGGTTAGGATATGATGTTTATACATACGAATGTGGTAGATCAAGATAAAAATAGGCTCAGGCATGAAATCAGTCACAACACTTTTTATAAATCACCTCCAATGATTTGTGTTTGGCACACTTCGTACAGACGGGATTACTATAATGCACTTTGGGAAAGAAATTCTCTTTTCAGAAACTCAATTGTAATCCAAATCACAACAAGAGCATACAATTTCCAAAACTTGACTGTGATGATATTGTAGATTTGCGAACATAAAAAAAATAAAAAATAATGAAAATCAAACACTAGAAAAAAAAAAAATATATATAGTTATAGCACTCACCTTAATCTTACAATCCATGGAACAAGACAGTAACAAATGACCAGAATGGGGAAATAACCTCACAGCACTGACACCCTGAAAGGAAACAAAAAGAATAACAAGACACATCAGATAAAGTTAATTCTGCTTTTGAGTTATTTTGTTTTCAAAAGAAATCCCAAGGTCTTCTGCTATGAAAGGATTTATATCATCACAGCACCCCACAGATGTAATACTGTCAGCTTGACAAAAAGGCAGTTTCACAAAAACGTAGCCTAATATTACTGCACAGCTATACTGGAAAATGATTTATAAAAGAAGTGAAAATAAAAACCAATCTGAAACACACATACAAGGTCATTTTAAATTGGTTGAAAAAGTTTTCCTGATAACGTTCCTCAAGTCAGCTTGTACAGATGACATCTTGAGTGTGGTTACATACTGCAATATTTAATTCTAGCATTTCGTTACTTTATTTTATACTTTAAGCATTAAAAGGTTATTCAAAACATGTGCATATGTGATTACAGTTAGCATACCCTGGCAGAAATTGTGTCATTGATTTTGAAAATGAGTGATTATGCAAAAAAATAAAAATAAAAGTATTTTATTGAAGACTAGAGATCATAACAAATCACCCAAATGGCCCCGATCAAAAGTTTACATGCCCTTGAATGTTTGGCCTTGTTACAGACACATACTGGTTAAAATGGCAATTAAAAGCTTAATTTACAATTAGTCTGTGCATAAATAGTCAATGTGTTTGTTAGCTCTCACGTGTATGCACTGAGTCACAGGAAGCAGAAAAGAACGGTCAAAAGACCTGCGTAACAAGGTAATGGAACTTTATAAAGATGGAAAAGGAAATAAAAAGATATCCAAAGCATTGGCATTGAAAATGCAAGTCATTACTGTTCAATCCGTTATTAAGAAGTGGAAAATTTGGGGATATCTTGATACAACTCCAAGGTCAGGCAGACCAAGAAAGATTTCAGCCACAACTGCCAGGAAAATTGTTCAAAGATACAAAGAAAAACCCACAGGTAACTTCAGGAGAAATACAGGCTGCTCTAGAAAAAGACAGTGTGGTTGTTTCAAGGAGTACCATACAATGATACTTGAACACAAATGAGTTGCATGGTCGAGTTGCCAGAAAGAAGCCTTTAGAGCGCCAATGCCACAAAAAAGCCTGGTTATAATATGTCCGACAACGCCTTGACATGCCTCACAGCTTCTGGCACACTAATTTGGAGTGACGAGACCAAAATAAAGCTTTATGGTCACAACTATAAGCGCTATGTTTGGAGAGGGGTCAACAAGACCTATAGTGAAAAGAATACCATCCCCATTGTGAAGCATGGTGGTGGCTCACTGATGTTTTGGGGATGTGTGAGCTCTAGAGGCACAGGGAATCTTGTGAACAGTGATGGCAAGATGAATGCAGTATGTGATTAGAAAATACTGGCAGACAATTTGCATTCTTCTGCACGAAGGCTACGCGCATGGGATGCTCTTTGACTTTCCAGCATGACAATGACCCTCCAGTGGTTACAGCAGAAAAAGGTGAATGTTCTGGAGTGGCTATCAGTCTCCTGACCTTAATATCATTGCGCCACTCTGGGGAGATCTCAAACGTGCAGTTCATGCAAGATGACCAAAGACCTTGCATGATCCGGAGGCATTTTGCCAAGACAAATGGGCAGCTATACCACCTGCAAAAATTAAGGGCCTCATAGACAACTATTACAAAAGACTGCACGCTGTCATTGACAATAAACGGGGCAATACACAGTATTAAGAACTAAGGGTATGCAGACTTTTGAACAGGGGTCATTTAATTTTTTTCCTTTGTTGCCATGTTTTGTTTTAGGATTGTGGCACTCTATTATAACCTATCGCTGAATATGAATCCCATAGAAAATAAAAGAAATGTGTTTTGCCTGCACACTCATTTTCTTTAAAAATGGTACATATATTACCAATTCTCCAAGGGTATGCAAACTTTTGAACACAACTGTATAAATAAAAAATAAAATTGGTCATTGAGTTAGCTTTTACAATACCTTAGTATGTCCAGACCAGACATGAATCTGTTTCTTGGGTAGATAGCATTTCTCAGGCAATTCAGAGGAACGCAAGTTAATGTCAACATCTTGAGGCACATGGAGGTAAGATCTTCCTTGGTAATCATACATTTCTTTAACTAAATCCAGAAACCAAGGAGGAGGAGTTTAACACAAGCAAGCACATGAACAGTCATACTCACACTACATGCATTTGTATTACTCCTGCACACTAAAATTAGAATATAACTTATTTTACTGCCACAAGTCCAATTCCCACAGTAAGTAAAGACTGTTTTCTTTCTTTTTTAACAAATTTCATTACAGAGATTATTAAAGAACAGAACAAAAGTAAAGATTTAAGTAATTATTTCTTTATGAGCACTTGCACTTCGAATTAGTTCTATTTCTGCTGTAGAGGACCTCTTTGCACAATATCGAAGAAAAATTGTTACAGTGGTTATATACACCAACAGAGTTGTGGTGGGGAAAAAAGTGCAGCTGAGAACCACTTCCACCCCTTTAAAGGGGATAGTTAATACATTGCACTGTTAAAGTAAGATTTCTGTGGGAAAAGCAAATCTAATGGCTTGACTGGTGTGTGTATTTGTGTTTAGAGATAGAGATATATATATATATATATATCCCCAGCACTCTGGGTCTTGTAAATAAAAACGTCTCAGGATGTATATAATAATATTGTGTGCATGTTTTTCCCCAAAAGGGATACAGTCTGAGTTTTCTCAGTAACTGTCTCCTTAAAATGCAATCATTCAGACCTCTATATATTTATGCACTTTAGTATATGGATGAGGAATATTAATATTATACTGTAATGTATTTCTTCATTCACTTGTATATTAGCACATTTTGGGCACTTTTCTCATTGTATATGAATGGTTACATGTTTTTACACTGTTATGTTTTGGCACAGACACTTTCAAGTAATGTGGATGCACTGTCACTTTAAAGTAGCATTCTTAATACCCGCGATTTGCACACTATCGATCTAAGATTGATGCAATTGAATATTCAGTTTGCTTATACCCATTATGCACTTCATTTTTCATCCCTGTATATAGATTAATAAGTAGTTGAAACAGCTACATTTATGGGCACTTATAACGATTTACACATCGTGCACATTTATTTCACTTGTCCTCATTCATTCACAAGGTGACGGTTTGTTTCTGTGGGTCACCTTGCAAACGGAGGCATGGCACCTGGAAGGGACGTCAGTAGGGGGCGGAGCTTAATCACGCGCATCGGTGATGGCTGTACGCCGGCACACAGGTGATCAAGTTTGGGGTGAGTGAGTTTTTCCTTATTTATAGTCAATATTGTTAATATAAGTTATTTATGTCCTCAAGAAAGTTCAATTCGAACTGAAACATTGACTGTTGGAATAAAACCTGAGAAGTTTTTATTTACAAAAACCAGAGTGCTGGCTTTTTCATCCATCTATACAATGTGCAGTCGAGCACCAGGCAATATGTCAAGGGATAGCTGGAGTGCAGAATCGTTTGGTATTGTCTATATAGAATATAAAAACAATAGAAGCTTGGCACTCTCCTTTGTAGAATTAAACAATTGCCCGGGTGCCATCCGTGTCATATATAAACAAGTGAACTTTCATGTGCTTTAATCCGCTCGCTTAATAATGAATTATGCAAATGTTTACATTAGAAATCTAGTTTTCATAGATAGGGGACAAGAGGACACCTATTTAGGTTTATGAAACTGTTGTGCATTTGAAACAAGGCATTGCAGTATTACCGTGCAAAATAGTCTTCTCCTCTGCAGGCTTATCATCCTCTTGTTTCCCTCTCTTTTGCCTCTTTGCAGTGATTTCATCTAGTTCTTTCTGCTCTTCCTAAGAAAGCAAACAATATTCTATATAAACATACACAAGAACTCTGTATCACTGGCTGTTGTTGGACTATATCCGTTACTTACCTCTGATGGTTTTGCTACATCTTTCTCATCAACATATTTTGCCCAAGGACCAAGGAAGCCATCTATGTTTGAAGCATCACTTCCTTTGACTTTTCTACGCTTTTCTGTTTTTTTCTGACTTGTTTCAAATACTGTCAAACCTACAGGTGAAATACAATTAATGCACGATTTAATATCATCTTCTGCTACATTTAAGATTAAACAGCTTCACAGGTAAAAAACATCATGCATCTATTATTCATATTTTCGCTTGGTATTGAGTAGTTTTGCCTTTCTATAATAAAAGCAGAAATATACCATTTATGCCTATTTCAAGTAGCACAAAATTATGACAGCAAGACTTTGACAATAATGGATTATTAAGTATAAGGCTTTGACAATAATGGATTATTAAGTACAAGGTTATAAAGCTTGGACAACTTGTAAAATTTGGATTGCATTCAAAACTTTGGGCAATTCCGTGCCCTCAAATTAGTTAGCACATATCCTGGGACATCTTATTTTCAGCTTACGGTTACAGGAACAACACATTTTGGCAGCCTCCTTTCAGGAGTCTATCACAAAAACAGAATTCCTGCTGTCATTCTAAGGAGATAGTCAATGGAGGATGTGACTGGTGATGTGCTTAAGATGTATTACTGCCAATCAATGCATTCTGCACATACTAGGAATACGTTTTCATGAAAATCAAGAATCAAGATGTTAAACATGTTTGACATGACTTGAAAAAGGGAGTAGGCCAGTTGACAAATAAAACTCAATATGGAGCTGTACTGGCCCCAACTGGCCAACATGCTTATATGTTATTCAGTGATACACACTATTTATGTACAGTGTAGAGAAAATCAATACGGCTGAAAACATAATTACCTTGATTCTTTTCTGCATCATCTACAGAACCAATATATTTAGTAGTGGTCTCTTGGATATCTATTGATGGATCCAGTGCATATCCTAAAACAATTAAAAAAATTATATTTTATCATAATGCATTCAAAAACTCCCTTAATGAGGAATTGTCACATCCTCAACTAACTTTAGCTATTAGTAGTACTTATTAAAGAAAAAAAATAATAATAATAATAAAAAAAAATTATATTATAGATATATAAAAATAAATTATATATCTTTATAGTTTCTCTTATTTTAATTATCAAGCTTTTCCAGGCATGGTAACGTAGAATGACCGCTCATATACATAATTTCTCTTAGACATCAGGAGACAGTGAAGTTGGTGCAAATTGTTGCTGCAGTAACGTCGAGCTTTTAAAAAGGTTTTAATTTTATAAAAATGACCTGTGCTGCGTTATTCACCCAAATAAATACTACAATAATGTTTACTAGGATGAACGATAAAGGAACTCTCAGTCAGAATTTATGCATATGAATGAGCCACAGTGCACTCTTTATAGACTGGGTTTATAGAAGTAATCCCAGCAATATGCATTATGCAAATTTCCAAACTACCTAAACATATACTAAATTAATTATTACAGCTTATGTCCAACAGACACCGACTTCAGAAAGTACAGAGAGCCTGATTTAGGAAACTGAGCCACAATTAGTATTAGGAAACTGAGCTGTCTGGTGGACATGTAATACAGATTTGTTTGCCCACAAAAATGTTACACCAAATTGTCCTTAACTAGGAAGCAATACTACTGCATACTTGTGCAAGTTGAAAGTTCTATTAAAAGGGCACTCCAGATTTAAGTCTTATCTTCATAGGCCTCAAGGTATGCTGTAAGGCTGGGGAGAGCACATTGATGACTGATCTGACATGCAGCCTGCAGCCAAATACTTACTGCTTGCACAAACTAAGCTCAAAATTGAAGCCAAGTGTCCGGATTGCTTTGCGCATGCACATAACACTCCACGAACCCTCGGTGGAATGCAGTGTCACTCTGGTGTGCGTTCTAATAGTGGAGCTTCCAAAGTCGCGCACAAGAAAGGACTTCCACCTCTTCTGGCACCCAGCGTAGACTAATGTAATATCCGTGCAGAAAGCAGATTACCGGCATGCATTCCACCGTACAGAACCGATGGAGGACAAGCTTATGAACCAAGCAAGCCTTTAAGAAGACTCCCCCAGGAGTCACAGCCCTCCTCACCACATTCAAGCAAAAAAAATAAAAATAAGTTAGAAACATGACCTATTTCTAAGGACAGGCAGAGAACTGTGGAAGATGGAGGATTTCTCCATTTTATACCAATCAGGGAAGGAGGTTTAGGAGCAGCTTAACTTTTTTCATGGTAACTTTTCGTAGCCTGCCTGTCCTGTAGGAAGATAAATCCCTTTGGTAAAGTGTTGCGTCAATGTGTTGGGGGAAAATGAATAAAAAATATGCAAAAACGGGGTGGGGCTTAATGTCCAGCATGGCTGACCATATTCCTCTGTAGCTCTTGCTAAACGGAGCTACAATTCAGCATTTAAAACTAATAATCTAGCTACAATAGGTTTTCAGTTGTAAGAAGACCGATATTACCAGTTGGTGCTTCTTATCGAGTCTGGAACAAAATTACAGAGCAGTAACCTTACCTATCTTTTCAACCTAACGCGCTGGCAGAGTGGAGAAGCGGACGATCTCCCGATGTGCACTATTGGGTTATCTGGGTCCCCACTGGGGTTCACAGAATCTGTAGTTGAGATCCACTGGACAGGTGGTCTGAATACCACAAGGAGTGTCCAAAATGGCTGCCGCAATGGAGTATTATCACCGTTGGTCAGGCCTTGTGAGCCAGGAATAATGATTCATTTGAACCCCAATTTAATGCAATATGCCATGGGTTCTGACACAGACTCAGCAACTTAACCACAACACTTACACACACACAAATATACATACATATATGTTGGAAGGCCATTTGGCATGAATTTGTGGGAGGAGTTATGATCCTATATAAACCCTACCCCCTACTTACCTTTGTCGTGCAAGCGGTTTGTCTCCATAGTTACCTGCACTTCCGGTTCGTCGTTCCCAAGTCCTGTCTCAAGCAGTCTCCAGAAAGCAGTCCGTCGCCAGCAGCTCCTGCCTCAGTCTTCCGTGCCCGTCCACCGGCTTCTACCCGGCTTCCGGTCATGAGACCGGCACGTCCACGTAAGCATAAACGTGGGAAATGGCGTTCGGCTATTTCCCATGTTCGGGCCTAAAAACGCGGGGATAGGCTCCATTCATTACTTACCCATTCGTGCTCTTACTTCGTTCGTGTACTTCTGCGTTTGTGTGGCTAACAGCCGACTGCAGAGTACACACTCCCGTCGCTTACATTTTCGTATAAACTACCGACCGCACTAAAACTTATGTTCGACTATTTTCATCCGTTCGTTCAGTCGAGCACATATACATTGGCTTTCGTTTTAAATTTGTTTGTATGCTCCATTTAACCGAACAGAGGAGTGCTTTCTCATTACAGTTCTCCTGTTCATTCATTTACCAAAAGCAAGAGGCTACGTTTAAATTCTCAAATCTACTGTAATTGTACATAGTTTGCTTTCACGTAACTAAGCACTCGCATTATTTATCCTATTTGGATTTATGTGTATTACATGGCTCTTAAAGTCACCACTGGTTAAATAATGTGTTTCTAATTTTCCCGGCCATGATCACATAATTATGGGACTCCTATCTTTTACAGGGTAAATCTTCTTAAAGCACAGTTTGACCACTTTTCTCTTATCAGTTACGTTTAAAAAAAAATACACCTCCAGGCATTATCATACCCTGCCGGGACTTAGGCTATTGTACTTTCCCTTATGTATTAGTCTTCTACGCAACTAAGGTCTCTCCGCTCACAGGTTAAGCCTTACGATCCTTTTTCACCAGGCTCTTTACAGACCATTAGCACAATTTAAAACCTCCATTCCTTAAAAGTTCTTTTATACTGGTTCCTTACACTTAAACTGCATATGTTTTTTGGATTTTACTACTTATATTTTTCTTCCAACAAAGCTCCAAGAAGAGGTACCCAGTATCCAGCATTTCTGTAAACAGGTAAGAAGGTTTACCATTTTACGTTCTCCCTTGAGGCCTCATTCAGCCACCATTGCCTCATACAGCCCCCCACCTCACAAAGTGGGTTCTAAAACTTCAAAACGGGCCAGATCTGAGATTCCTCACAGCGAGTAAACATCAATCACACAAACCTACACCACCTTGCTACTACTTATACTTTTCTTCAAACAAAGCTCCAATAAGAGGTACCCAGTATCCCGCATTTCGGTAACAGGTAAAATGGTAAACCTTCTTACAATTTCCCTTGAGGCCTCATTCAGCCTCCACGGCCTCATACAGCCCCCCACCTCTCAAAGTGGGTTCTAAACTTCAAGACGTACCTGGTCTAAGATTCCTCACAAATGTCAACGACAATCTAATAATCATAATCCACCGTATTACAACTATATTTAATGGTTCATGTTTTTGTCATTAATTTCTACATATCATTACTTAGACCTGTGTCATTACAGCAGCTCGCCAATTCTTACGCCATAGACAACCTAGAGGCTACCTGGTTCCCTGTTTTGCAGTATCAGGTATTGGTAATCTTACTCACTACGATTAAGTTTCTCCTTAAGGCCTCACTTCGCCTTCGTATCATTCAAATAAAATTCACATTGTGGGACCCCAGGGGCTTGTCTCTAATTGACGGACCAACGTTCAGGTAACTCAGCTTACCAGAGTTCTTACGTTACGGTATCTGTGCTACACACCAACCCATACGTTCAACATTTTTACACTCATACCAGTGGCACTCCTCAGGCCCACTGGCATCTTTTTTCCTAAGGTTTCCCGGACCGGGCCCGTTCCCTGCAGAAGCAAGAATATATGGTAATCTTCCTGCGCATCAAAGAAAGAGGACAAACACTCAAGGTTAAGTATCTACATACGTTATATCACACCATTCTAAGAGACAAGCCCCATCAGGATAAAGAACTGGCATTGAAGGTTAGGAGCTGGCCTTAGCTATCCTAAGTAATACTACGGTCCCGCGAGGTCTACACCCCACCTCATACACGGAGGTTTCAGCCCCACAACCAAATCCTAGTTAGCCACCTTCGCTCGCCCTTCTTTAGGGCTACAGTTAGGGCCCCCAAGTCACGGCCACACGTGAATCTCTTACAGTCACCGAAAGGCCGACATCCTGCCACCAAGTTCTAGTGGCCACAAAATTCCCTCGGTCCAAATCATAGGTAGAGCCTCTCTCCGCCACTTGGCACTAGCAGGGCCTCACCTGTCACTTGGTTCTAGGTAAATCCCTCATCCCTTCTACCCTCAGTTACCTGGGATTCTGGTACATTCCAAAAATATCAGCAGAGCTCAGACACAGGGGTATCCCCTCCCCAGCCACTCCCAGTAATGCAGAACTACACAGGCTCACAACAGCTCAGACCAACGTTACCAGGCCTGTTTCTAGTTCACAAGGGCAGTCAGTTTTCTCCTCAGATTCCAATCAGGAGACCCCAGTCGCTATCCTGGCCAGCCTTCAAATGATTAACATGCTGATAAATGGAATCGGCTATAGCCACACCAGGTGTCTCTTTAAGACCGGCAGGCCCTCACCTGGCGATCTCGGTCATACAGTCTGGCTTACCCCTCATTTCCCTCCCCGTCCCCCACCACCCACTATCACTACTCCATCCGTCTCACCGGCCCACTCTGTTCCAATTTCATGGAGAAGGTAATTCTCGTTGGAAAGGACGTTAAACTAACATCACTACTTAACTTCACAAGACACCCTTCAGTACTAAGGTTACATTCATGGTGACATTTCAGTAGTCCTAAACAGCCAGACCACGACTTAAAGCTTTCCATTCCTCTGTTTATCATTGCCTCTCGCATTGAGTCAGCCACTTACACTTCTCACCACGCACTAGTCAGGGAGGCGGCCATCCCACTATGAAGCTATCACTTCAGTAAGTAGTAAGGCTTGGTTGAGCAAGACGGACTTATCCAAAGCCTTTAATCTACTCCCTATTCACCCTTCACTCTGGCACCTGGCCTACATTCGGGTGGCCATCCTCACTAACCATTTTGTGGCTGATTTACAGGCTGACTTGGCTGGCAGCAACCTCTCAGCTCTTTTTAGTCTGCCTTTACATTCCTGGCGTCCACAACACAGCCGCTGACTCTCTTTTACGCTCAGTTCAAGGTCTTCTTTCAGGCAACCCCTACGACCCACTACGTACCATCCAGGATACCACCATTCCATGAGCTAATCTTGGACTGAGCACAGAATTACACCTTGTACAGTTACACAGTTTCACAACTACTCTATCACTCGTGCTAGGGCTTTGGTATATTGTACCATGTCACAAGTAGAGTTTGCTTGATTCATGACTCATGCAGTTAAACTATTGTAATTTTTGCCTCTTCCTCTAATCCTACAAATCAAGCATCTTATTTCGACTTCCTATGCTGTCACTCCGTTTTTTTCCGTATACAAGGTCAGCCACACACTATCAGAACTAATCCATTACTTCACGCCTAAACCTTCCATTAAGGTAAGCTACATCATGGCTTCCTTCGCTGATCTCTTTTTTTGCAGCTTCAAGCTCTTACACCCCAGTTTACATCACTAAGTAATAGGGCCACAGGTAATCCTCAGCTCAGTTACATATATACCTCATAGTAAAACTCCTTCAAGCTTTCCGTACACAAGCTGTATAAACTTGCAATAAAGTGTGTTTTTCTTTGAATCCTCTTTTGCCCTCTTTTACAGGCCTACTCGTACGTTGGTTTCGGCACACCTCAACCAACTTTGCTTCTCCTTCTACATTCCATTACGTATTAGATAAATTCCGAACACAAGTTGGAATGCCATTTGGCCTGAATTTGTGGGAGGAGTTATGATCCTATATAAACCCTACCCCCCTACTTAACTTTGTCATGCAAGCTGTTTGTCCCCACCCACATACACCCATATTAATTAACAATTCACATTTGTGGGCCCTCTTTTACAGGCCTACTCGTACGTTAGTTTCGGCACACCTCAACCAACTTTGCTTCTCCTTCTACATTCCATTACGTATTAGATAAATTCAGAGTACAAATATATAATATATTTATTTGATTTTCTCACGCCTCCTGGGTGGTATGTTTATTCCTCATTCTCGGGTCCGCTACCAGAGGCCTGGGAGTTTGAGGGTTCTGCGCAGTATCTTAGCGGTTCCTAGAACTGCACTCTTCTGGAGAGTAATCTCATATGTCCCACCTGGAACCTGTTGAAGCCACTCCCCCCAACTTGGGAGTCACAGCCCCGAGTGCTCCTATCACAACTGGAACTACCACGGCGTTCACTTTCCACATCCTTTCTAGGTCTTCTTTCAGTCCTTGGTATTTGTCCACCTTCTCATGTTCCTTCTTCCTGATGTTATAATCACTGGGTATTGCCACATCCACCACGACTGCAGTATTTAGTTCCTTGTCTACCACCACGATGTCTGGTTGGTTGGCCAGCACTTGCTTGTCTGTCTGGATCTTAAAGTCCCACAGGATCTTAGCCCTGTCATTCTCAACTACCCTTTGTGGTATCTCCCATATGGACTTACACCCTGTTCAAAATTATTATGCAAATTCTATTTAAGTGTCACAAAGATTAAATATTTTGTTTTTCAGTTTAACTCATGGATGGCATTGTGTCTCAGGGCTCTTTTGATGACCGAAAACAATCTCGGACACCTGTGATAATGAGATTGCCAGGTGAACCCAATTTAAGGAAAAACTACTAAAAGGAGGGTGTTCCACATTATTAAGCAGAGCACCATTTTCATGCAATATCGGGAAGAAAAAGGATCTCTCTGCTGCCGAAAAGAGTGAAATAGTTTAATGCCTTGGACCAGGTATGAAAACATTAGATATTTCACGAAAACTTAAGCGCGATCATCTCACTATTAAGATATTTGTGGCAGATTCAGAGCACAGACAGGTTTGTGCAGATAAAGGCACCTTGAGGAAGATTTCTGACAGATCCATGCATCGGATCAAGAGAGCAGCTGCTAAAATACCATTACATAGCAGCAAACAGATATTTGAAGCTGCTGGTGTCTCTGGAGTCCCACGGACATCAAGGTGTAGAGTCCTCCAGAGTCTGGCAACTGTGCATAAACCTTCTGTTCGTCAACCACTAACCAATGCTCACAAGCAGAAACAGCTGAATTGGGCAGAAAATACCAGACGACTAATTTTCAAACAGTCCTGTTCACTGATGAGTTCCGTGCAACCCTGGATGGTCCAGATGGATGGTGGACGGCCACCCTGTTCCAACAAGGCTGCAACATCAGCAAGGCAGTGGTGGTGTCATGTTTTGTGCCGGAATCATGGGAAGAGAGCTGGTCGGCCCCTTTAGGGTCCCTGAAGGTGTAAAGATGACCTCTGCAAAGTATGTGGCGTTTCTCACTGACCACTTTATTCCCTAGTACAGAAGGAAGAACTATGCTTTCCGTAATAAAATCATCTTCATGCATGGCAATGCACCATCTCATACTGCAAAGAATACCTCTGCATCAATGGCTGCTATGGGTATAAAAGGAGAGAAAGTCTGGCCTCCATCCTATCCTTAATGCTATTGAGAACCTTTGGAGCATCCTCAAGCAAAGATCTATGAGGGTGGGAAGCAGTTTACATCCAAACTGCAGCTCTGGGAGGCTATTCTGACATCTTGCAAAAAAATTCAAGCAGAAACTGTCCAAAAACTCACAAGTTGCAAGACTTGTGAAGCAGCTATCAAATAAAGGGTCCTATGTTAAAATGTAACGTGATCTGTTAAAATGTTATAAGTTTGATTGAAATAGCTTTTGATTTTAGTAAAAATGCTGCAAACACAACAAATGACCATTTTCAGTTCTTTACAACCTATAAAGTGTTTTGAAACTTACTGTGTGTAATAATTTGAAACCGTGCATTGTAAGTTTTTATGTTTAAAAAAATAAAAATACTGTTATTATTAGGTTTGTTCAATAAAATTCGAATTGTACTCTTAATAGTTGATAACATGAGAATTATGCTGACTGTTATTTACATCAATTATTTAGGTAAATGAGAAAAATATAATTTGCATAATAATTTGGAACAGGGTGTAGGCATGTCCAATCCATATTCTGTGCAGATGTTTCGGTACACAATCCCAATAATAATATATATATATATATATATATATATATATATATATATATATATATATATGCTGTATATGCCAAACTGCTTCCCTTGAGTACTACAGAGTGGATTTTAAGTTTGAATAAAGTTTTGGAAACTTTGTTGGCTGGTGGTGAGTGATTTGGACCCCATGCACACTAGGGGGTGACCCCCCCTCACCAGAGCATTATAGTTTGGGGTGGTACTATAACCACTCCATATTTGTGAGTTGCATTTTTTTAAAAACTTCTTTATTATCTTTTAGTGTACGACATGTTCTCTGTACTTTTATCTTTTGCAGATTTATAAAAGAACAATATATTTTGTTTTTGCAAGTATATCTATAGGTTTTATTTGGTAATTACCACGTTGGTGATTGTGCTACACCTGTGTGGATCACTGATTATTTTTATAATCATGGTATTTTAGTGATCACTTATACACAGTTTCTATTATGATACATGTAGATTGTGATACGTGTATAGAATATTTAAATAGTTTGTGCACCAATTTATCAAGTATATTTTTTTTTACCAGGGTTTAATTGGTTTGCTGCATGCCTAATAGTTTATTTCTTTATGAGCACTTGCACTTTGAATTAGACTGTAGCGCCATTTTGTTCTATTTCTGCTGTAGAGGACCTCTTTGCACAATATCGAAGAAAAATTGATGTGATTGGAGCGTCTATTTACATAAAAATGTATATTAGACATCATAAATTGGTTCTGAACAGAAGAGTAATACTCACAAGGTAATGAATTCCTGACCATTCACAGTTTATTGAATCACAGAGACATATTTTAAGTCCAGAATAGCTTAAATAGGAACATATCCAACCTACAATTTTTCCAATTTACCTTTTTTGCTTCCTTAGAAATTGCAATTCAGTGATGCATTCCTGAAAATTCAAGGTCTAAATACCACAATAACATAAACTCTGTAAAAGTTACATTCTCAAAGCAGACACAATTCTTATTTTTAGATGGTATAAGAAAACCTGAACCATATAAGTGGACATAACTGATTGATAATGCAATTAAAATGTACAAAGTACATTGCTGCCTGCCATTTGCAGAGCTCTGCAGGCTAGAGCTATAAATATTAGTATGAGTCGACTTTGGCAATGCTGATATTGGGCTAGTGCTGCTCTATTACTTTATGTGGCCTAGCTGGAAAAGCTTGGTAGGACAGGAACAGCACATTCTATGAAGCAGGACTGGTTAGAATGTCATACTGCAGGATACTGACAAATTCACAAGCAGTCTTACAGTGTCAAGCTTACATGCAGACCTAAACTGGAATAGGGCACCCTAAACTCACTTCCTGTGTAATGACAACGGTTAGCAAATCCTAGACGCCATGAAGTGAGCACAGTTGGAATGCAGCACCCTACTCTATATATGCAGCTTCTTCATGTGATCTGTGGGTTACACTACTTTCACAAGCATTTATTACCATGCCATCTAGTTACGGTTTATCAGCTATATCCTTAGTAAAATCTTTGGTGCATCGCCATTTGGCATGTATGCATGTGAATAGGGTCTAGGCAGCTGTGTGAGAGACATTTGTATGTCTCTCTACAGTCTGTCTCATGCTCTTACTCTTTTTCCTGCTTGTTGGGACAGACATCATAAAACTATTAGTAGTTGCATTGATTGTTTTAAACATATTTCTACACAGCAGGAAGGAAGACTACATCTACATCATGCTTTTATCTATGTTCTTAAGGTAGGCCATAAATTGCTACTGGGAAAAGGGCCAGAAATGTGGTTTCCAAAATTAAATTTCAATGAGAAAAACATTACTTGTTATTGTATAAAGTGGAGAACGAAATGCAAGTGAAAATGAAATCCCCAGCCAGTGCTCAAGGGAAGAGAAAGCATGTATAGTTGTAGGAGATGCAAAAATCATTCAGTGAGTATCAGCAATGCCAGGAGTAACCTGAAAACAGGAATGCATGGAATTTAGTCTGTTTTCACTGATATTAGCATATACTGAAATTTGAATTGCTTACCATAAGTTGCAAAGGTTCTCCTCTGCTGTTCAAACATGAAGTCATTAATGTGTGTTGGTTCAGCATATCCAGAGAGCATGTTCCTTGGTGCAGCCATCTGTTGTGTTTTGAAAGGATTGTTGGGTCCAAACTACATTTATAAAAAAAAAATATAAAAATAAATATTAATGTTTCAATTTGCATTCTGCTATTGCTCTAGCATCGCATACCCCACTGAATAGCTTCAATTTCGTAATATCAAAAATTTCTACATTAGGATAACAGTGTACAAAATTACAATAAATATAAGGTTTCTTCACATTAAAACGCTCTCTATATAAGCATTATACATTATTATAGCTATAATACTTGTGCACTGGCTGTGCACACTGAGCATTGTGTATGGTGTGCGCTGGCCGTACGCAACAAGTGCAGTGTATGGTGAATGGTGTGCGCTGGCCGTACGCAACGAGTGCAGTGTATTGTGTATAGTGTGCGCTGGCTGTAAGCAACGAGTGCAGTGTATGGTGTACAGTGTGCGCTGGCTGTAAGCAACGAGTGCAGTGTATGGTGTACAGTGTGCGCTGGCCGTACGCAACGAATGCAGTGTATGGTGTGCGCTGGCTGTACGCAACGAGTGCAGTGTATGGTGTATAGTGTGCGCTGGCCATACACAACGAGTGCAGTGTATGGTGTGCGCTGGCCGTACGCAACGAGTGCAGTGTATGGTGTGCGCTGGCCGTACGCAATGAGTGCAGTGTATGGTGTGCGCTGGCCGTACGCAACGAGTGCAGTGTAAGGTGTATGGTGTGCGCAGGCCGTACGCAACAAGTGCAGTGTATTGTATTGTGTATGGTGTGCACTGGCTGAACGCAACAAGTGCAGTGTATTGTATTGTGCATGGTGTGCGCTGGCTGTACGCAACGATTGCAGTGTATTGTGTATGGTGTGCGCTGGCTGTACGCAATGAGTGTAGTGTACGGCGTGCGCTGGCTGTACGCAGTGTGTGTAGTGTACAGTGTGCGCTGGCTGTACGCAATGCGTGTAGTGTATGGTGTGCGCTGGCTGTACGCAATGCGTGTAGTGTATGGTGTGCGCTGGCTGTACGCAATGCGTGTAGTGTATGGTGTGTACTGGCTGTACGCAATGAGTGCAGTGTATGGTGTGCGCTGGCCGTACGCAACGAGTGCAGTGTAAGGTGTATGGTGTGCGCAGGCCGTACGCAACAAGTGCAGTGTATTGTATTGTGTATGGTGTGCACTGGCTGAACGCAACAAGTGCAGTGTATTGTATTGTGCATGGTGTGCGCTGGCTGTACGCAACGATTGCAGTGTATTGTGTATGGTGTGCGCTGGCTGTACGCAATGAGTGTAGTGTACGGCGTGCGCTGGCTGTACGCAGTGTGTGTAGTGTACAGTGTGCGCTGGCTGTACGCAATGCGTGTAGTGTATGGTGTGTACTGGCTGTACGCAGTGTGTGTAGTGCGAGCTGGCTGCCTAAACAGTATTGCAGTAAAGTTCTTTGTTAATTACATACATTCACAATAGTTTAGCATGCAAAAAAAAATGTGCCTGTGAGAGATTGACCATAACAAATAATGATAACCACTAATAGTAGAAGGGTTGACAATAAGGGAGGTCACTTCTAAATTTTGCACAAGTATGCTGAAGGCCTATGGTTGACCATGTATGTGACTCCAGTTCTACATTCCCCCAGCACGTGTTATACGTGGTTGTTAGAGGAAAATCTGTAATTGAGATCAGGGCAATTGCCTGTAAAAGTATTTACCCGTATTAATAAAATGCCAGCATAGAGGTTAATGTCAAAAATGGATCGACAAGTGGGGAAGGAGCAATTAAAATTAATTCATTTTCTACCATTTTGGTAGCATAATTTACAGATCAGGACTGCACAAAAGGTAGGACCGAGATCTCTACAAATTGAACTTCCATGATGCTCAGCTATTACAAAGTCTAGCAAAGCATCATGCGTGTCTAATGTGAAGAATATCTATACTGCTTAATTTAATACAATGCTGTGTGTATCATGACACTTTACATGTAGAAAAATGAACACAATCTTACCTCGGGTGCAAACATGGTTTCATAAGTGGGATTGAAGTTAACTTCCTTGATGGAAGGGTCAAGATGAATGCCAGTTTCCACATCTTGCTGTAACAAAGAAAATACACTTTCTATATCAGTAATCATATCATATGCAATCCATTGGGAATGCTATAAAATCCACTCAGTGGTCATATGGATGATAAGTAATGTGTTTCACCAATCTTTCTACAACATGTTGATTAACCATTGGACTATAATACATCTTAAATAGAACACTTTAGATAGATTTTAACTCCAAAAGCATTTTAATAACAGAATTTTTTTTTTCCATCCGCCATGTTGACAACTACCGTATTTTTCGCTCCATAAGACGCACTTTTTTCCCCCTCAAAAGTGAGGGGAAATGTCTGTGCGTCTTATGTAGCGAATGTGAAGATTTACTTACCTGTCTTGGAGCGTGGGCCGGCTTCACAGCGCGCTCCGCCGTCCAGGAACTTCTTATTTCAGGTTCCGGTTTCCGGCGGGACTGAAAGGAAGTGCACACTCAGTGTGCACACTTCCTTTCAGTCCCGCCGGAAACCGGAACCTGAAATAGAAGTTCCTGGACCGCGGAGCGCGCTGTGAAGCCGGCCCACGCTCCAAGACAGGTAAGTAATTATGGGACAATGGGAGGGGAGACACTAGGGGAGGGGGAGACACTATGGGAAGGGGAGGGGGACACTATGGGTTAAGGGGAGGGGGACACTATGGGAGAAGGGGAGGAGGACACTATGGGACAAGGGGAGGGGGACACTATGGGGGACACTATGGGAGAAAGGGAGGGGGAGACACTATGGGACACTATGGGAAAGGGAGGGGGAGACACTATGGGAGAAAGGGAGGGGGAGACACTACGGGAGAAAGGGAGGGGGAGACACTACGGGAGAAAGGGAGGGGGAGACACTATGGGAGAAAGGGAGGGGGAGACACTATGGGAGAAAGGGAGGGGGAGACACTATGGGAGAAGGGGAGGGGGAGACACTATGGGAGAAGGGGAGGAGGCGACACTATGGGAGAAGGGGAGGGGGAGACACTATGGGAGAAGGGGAGGGGGAGACACTATGGGAGGGAAAGTGCACTATGGAACAATGGGAGGGGGACACACTATGGGATCAGAACACTAATGGACAAGGGTAGGAGGGGTTAAAGAACACTATGGGACAGGGAGGAGGGGTTAACAATCACTATGGGACAGAGGAAAGGGGGGTTAAAGATCATTATGGGACAGGGGAGAAAAAAAAAATATTCTGAACAAACTGTCCCATAGTAAGAAACACTATGGAACAGTTTGTTCAGAATATTTTTTTTTTTTCCGGGTTTCCTCCTCTAAAAACTAGGTGCGTCTTATGGTGAGGTGCGTCTTATGGAGCGAAAAATACGGTATATGTATTAATGAAAAATTGTGTCCTCCCATCATGAAAAATAACAGCACCAGGCTTAAGGATGCCCCTTATAGCCTTTCTTATTAGTTCCTACCTTTTAGCAAACAGTTAAAGACAATTCCCTTATCGAGGGAGCACAAGTTGCTGATAATGACTACATAGAATCCGCTTTTACAAATGACTTATTTCCTCAGTCATCACTGCCTAGCTTACTTAGACAAACGTTCACTAACTTTCAGATTAACGTTTGCAAGAGCCAGATCTTGAGCATCTTTTCCCGTGCACTTGGGTTAAACTAGCCATTTGATACCTAGGTATTTTCTTCCAAGATAAGCTTTCTATATTTTCACCAAAAAAAACTATTACATAATATCACAAAGGTTGATATCTTTCTTGTTTTACTTGGTTGTCCTGACAAGACTATGATATTTGTTACAAGTCCTACCAAATCTTCTTCTAAAGGCTTTTACTGCTATCCATAAATTAATTATATCATTCATGTGGTCCTATAAACCAGGGCTCGACAAATCCCAGGCGCCAGGTAGACTAAAAATTTGTCAACTTTTTATCTAAAACACCTGGCTGGGCAAATAATGGAGCTGGCTGCCCTGGGCATTATGGAGGCGGCCGGCTGAGTGACAGTTGGAGCCGACAGCCCTGGGATTTAAGGAGGTGGTCGGCTGAGAGAGTTGGAGAAGGCTGCCCTAGGCTTCATGGAGGCGGCCGGCTGGGGCAGCATGCGAGGGAGCAGTGCTCTTCCAGCGGCTCCTCTCTGCTCCCTCGCGCCGTGTAATGATGCCGGGAGCCGGAATATGACGTCATTACGGCCCCGGCATCACAGGGAGCAGAGAGGAGCTGCATGGCTCCCTCTCACACAGAAAGAGAAGGCAGCCCCACTAGACCCCAGGGAACGTCCACTCAGCACTCCTAAATGGTAGGGAGGCTAAGTGGATAAAGAAATACAAATAAAATGTAACTTTGTGTATGAGAAAGTGTATGTGTGTATGTCAATGTGTGTGTGCCAGAGTGGGTGTGTATGCCCCTGTCAGAGTATGTGTGCGACTATGCCCAGTCAGTGTGTGCGCGCCTATGTCTCTGTCAGTGTGTGTGTGTGTGTGTGTGTGTGTGTGCGCCTATGCCTCTGTCAGTGTGTGTGTGTGTGCGCCCCTATGCCTCTGTCAGTGTGTGTGTGTGTGTGTGTGTGCGCGCCTATGCCTCTGTCAGTGTGTGTGTGTGTGCGCGCCTATGCCTCTGTCAGTGTGTGTGTGTGTGTGTGTGTGTGTGCGCGCCTATGCCTCTGTCAGTGTGTGCGCCTATGTCTCTGTCAGTGTGTGTGTGTGTGTGTGTGTGTATATATATATATATAATATATCTTAAAATCCTCCGGTGTTAGAATGATAGTTTTACGGCTATCCCTACTCACTTACTCATCACTTAGGTTGCCGAGCAACCGCTGTAATCACCATGGGACATAACGTAATGACGTCACCCGCGGCTCTTTCACACTTCCGGGTTTTCGATTGTTTGAGGAGGCTCTGTGCACGCACCTGGTAAGCTAATATGCTTTTTTTCTTAGAAATATATTGTTCTACACATTGTTCTGATCTTGATAAAGACTTGAATAGTTCGAAATGTTGATCTGCTGAACTCTTAATACTTGGACACAGTAAACTGAACACTATTTCAAATCCAGGCGTGCGCCTTGTTATTCGCCTTGTTATTCGCATTGTATGTATGTATGTATGTATGTATGATAGATAGATAGATATATATATATCTATCTATCTCTTGTTGGCATAGGAATCGTACTGATTTACAGAGTCTTTTCCCTTATGTCTGATCAGTGCTGGAGATGGAGATATTTGAAACCCAATGGTACCACAGCTCATATCCGGCAGTCGTGCCCTGTCACAGAAAGCTAACTGGCAGCGGTTATTGGCAGAAACTGATATGTTGAGATGTTTTTCAGTTCCCTTTAACCCTACAGCAATGCTGTTTTATTTATGTCCATGCTCGCTGCAGAAAATTTAAATTATCATTATTGAAACCCAAACCCACTGCTGCTCATCAAATGATTCTGACATTTTGGAAAAAGACCTCTGCACACTCCATCACAAACAAAGTACAGAAGGTGGGTCAATTAGAGAAACTCTGGTATAGCATTAAAACATCAAAAAAAAGTTTAACATTTCAATGAGATGAAGCAGTAACAGTGTCTTCAGTGACCTTTAAAATATTTAGTCCTATTGGCTGAGGAATAGGTATTATAGGGCAGGGGTAGGAAACCTTCGGCACTATATATGTTGTGGACTATATCTCCCAAAAAAGCATCAGCTTCTGTTTATATAAATTTTTCTTGCTTTATTGTAATTAGGGATAGCCGATACTGATAATCTGGGAACTTTCAGGCCGATAACTTAGCGTTTTTCTGTACATTTATCGTTTTGAAAAAGAAAAATTTCTACACAAATCTATTATTTAATTTTTTTATTGCAATTTTTTATTAAGTGGTAAATTAACAAAATATACATGCCAGTCAGATTTGTTTTAGGTTTTCAAGAATATTTGAGTTTGTGTGTAGTGGATGCAGTGAGTATTTGACTGGTAAATGCAGTGTGTGTTTGTGCTTGTATAGTGGATGAAGTGTGTGTTTGTGCTTGTATAGTGGATGCAGTGTGTGTGCGCTTGTATAGTGGATGCAGTGTGTGTGTGTGTGCGTGTGTATAGTGGATGCAGTGTGTGTGCGTGTAAATATGTGAGGTAGGAACCCTCTCTCCCCCCTCCCCTTACCTGTATCTTAGTGCCCTCCCTCATTCACCTTAATGTTTCTCTCACTTCTCTTTTAGTGGTCCCTCCTCTACCCCAGAGTTCCCTTTCCCTTCCCTGTCCCATAGTGTTCTTTCCTTCCCCCCATCCCTTTCCCATAGCGTTCTTTCCTTCTCCCCCCATCCCCTGTCCCATAGCGTTCTTTCCTTCTCCCCCCATCCCCTGTCCCATAGCGTTCTTTCCTTCTCCCCCATCCCCTGTCCCATAGCGTTCTTTCCTTCTCCCCCCATCCCCTGTCCCATAGCGTTCTTTCCTTCTCCCCCCATCCCCTGTCCATCCCATCCTGTCCATGCGTTCTTTCCTTCTCCCCCATCCCCTGTCCCATAGCGTTCTTTCCTTCTCCCCCCATCCCCTGTCCATAGCGTTCTTCCTTCTCCCATCCTGTCCCATGGCGTTCTTTCCTTCTCCCCCATCCCTGTCCATGGCGTTCTTTCCTTCTCCCCCATCCCCTGTCCATAGCGTTCTTTCCTTCTCCCCATCCCCTGTCCCATGGCGTTCTTTCCTTCTCCCCATCCTGTCCCATAGTGTTCTTTCATCTCCCCATCCCCTGTCCCATGAGTGTTCTTTCCTTCTCCCCATCCCCTGTCCCATAGTGTTCTTTCCTTCTCCCCCATCCCTGTCCCATAGTGTTCTTTCCTTCTCCCCATCCTGTCCCATAGTGTTCTTTCCTTCTCCCCATCCCTGTCCATAGTGTTCTTTCCTTCTCCCCATCCTGTGGTGTTCTTTCCTTCTCCCCCTCACCTGTCCATAGTGTTCTTTCCTCCCATCCCTGTCCCATAGTGTTCTTTCCTTCTCCCCATCCCTGCCCCATGGTGTTCTTTCCTCCTCATCCTGTCCATAGTGTTGTTCCTTCTCCCCATCCCTGTCCATAGTGTTCTTTCCTTCTCCCCATCCTGTCCATGGTGTTTCCTTCTCCCCCATCCTGTCCCATGGTGTTCTTTCCTTCCCACCGATCCATGGTGTTCTTTCTTCTCCCCATCCCTAGTGTTCTTTCCTTCTCCCCCCATCCCCTAGTGTTCTTTCCTTCTCCCCATCCCCTAGTGTTCTTTCCTTCTCCCATCCCTGTCCCATAGTGTTCTTTCCTTCTCCCCCCATCCCTTGTTGTCCATAGTGTTCTTTCCTTCTCCCCATCCCCTGGTGTTCTTTCCTTCTCCCCATCCCTGTCCCATAGTGTTCTTTCCTTCTCCCCCCATCACCTGTCCCATAGTGTTCTTTCCTTCTCCCCCCATCCCCTGGTGTTCTTTCCTTCTCTACCCATCCCCTGTCCCATAGTGTTCTTTCTTTCTCCCCCCATCCCCTGTCCCATAGTGTTAGCACTTCCTTTCAGTCCGACCGGATACAGGAAACATAAGTTCCTGTACGGTGATACGCACTGCTCCACTTGGCCACGCTACACAGGGTGCCTGGCAGGAGGGAGCGCTGTGCGCCCACCTCCTGCCGCTTACTCTATTCCAACCCCTTCCTCCCCCACCCGGCCGGTGCGCCCTAAGGCAGTCTCCCCCCACCCCCCGTGCCCCCTTATGGACGTGATGGCCCACCTCATTATCGGTATTACTGATTATCGGCCAATACCAAAAAAAATAAAAAATAATAATAAAAAATTGTTTTATATATATAACTATAACAAACAGAAAGCTTGGCACTCACCCTTTCTCCAATTTAAAATGAATTTCTTAGTGCCTTGGTGCAATCCCATGTTATGGAATATATACAAAAAATAAGAGATGCACTCTAAGGACTTATATAATCGATAGTAAAGTATTTATTAAAAATAAGGTTTACATAATAAGATCGACGTTTCGACCCCTCGGGGTCTTCCTCTTGAGGAAGACCCTGAGGGGTCGAAATGTCGATCTTATTATGTAAACCTCCTTTTTAATAAATACTTTACTATCGATTATATAAGTCCTTAGAGTGCATCTCTTATTTTTTGTGTATATATATATATATATATATATATATATATATATATATATATATATATATATATATTTTTTTTTTTTAATCAGAATATCAGCTGATATCGGCAAAACCTAATAATGGGCCGATCCCTAATTGTAATCTTCCCTTTCCAGGAATTGCCAATAGCTTGCTGATTGTACACTACGAGTACTTCATTCCCTTGACTCTGATTTCAGTAGTGATCACTTTTGTATTGGTTACCATTTCCCACATTGTCCTGTTCATGCTTGGTGTTGAAGTGTTCACTAAGACTGCACTATACATTGCACATAAAATTAAAAAACTATAGGCATGCAGACCATTTAATCTTAATTAAGTGGTCTGTGTGCGATGTCCTGTTCTGCAGGAACGGCAATGTTTCTCTGCCTCTAGTAGCGGCATACTGACTATAACAGGCGCAGCATAGTGATTTTCTGCACATGCAAGAAAGCCTCCCAATGGATTGACTGAAATCATTTTTAATGATCTCAGTCAAAGAGATGGAGCTTCCACACAGAGACCGGTAATGTGAAGGAGAAAAGGCAAGCAAAGTCAACCCTTTTCAACTCTTTCAGCGGGGGCCCAGTCACCTAAATGGTTACTAGGGCACTATAGCTTTAGACATACATTTGTATTCCTTACTTGATAGCGTTCCTTTAAATCCATGCATAACAGACAACACTTGTAAACATTCAAATCAAAATGCTTGGATGCTTTTTTGCATAAACAGAATATTTAATGATATAATTGATACATATGTAAACAGGTTGCTGATGCAAGGAGAACTAGGATTGCCAATATGGAGTCAAGAAGGATTTTTTCCCTGTTTGTGGCATAATTGGAAATGGCTACAATTGTTTTGGGTTTTTTTTTTGCCTTATTTTGGATCAAAATCATAAACAAATTGGCTTCTGTGTTGAACTTGATGGACTTTTTCAGCCTTGATAAGTATAGAAGGAACAAAGTATCGCAAAATAAAGTACAGATGGCAAAAGGGTTGGATTCAAACTACTAAGCCCATAATGAAGATGAAATAGCTGTTGATCCAACAGTAAAGCACAAGGTTTACTGATAAAAATAAAAAAATTAAAAAAAAATTATCACAGACTACTGAAAAGGAGAATGATAATGACTAATCGCTTTCACTCGGGAGCTTGTAATTACCACTGACAAGAAAACTGCCTAAGCACAGTATATTATTACAGCATGGATTGCAGTTAAAGACTGCACCAGCATACACTTGCTAATTACTTAAAGTGTGGGGTGTGTCAGGTAAATAAAACTAAACAAAAACATGGGGGGGAATTAGTATAAGCAAACATTCACCGAGGAAAAAAAAAAAATGCTCCATGGAAAAAAACAAAAAAACATGTATTTGTGAAACATACTGTCAATATAAAAATTGTATTAGTTACCGTTTGAAAACTTTGATAAATATTTGATGCACCATGTTTTTTTACATTAAACCTATTCACCCAAAAAGCTTTAAGTGGTTGCTTGAGCACTATAATCAGAAATGCAATGATTATGGTGCCAGAATGTACGCTTTCCCTGGTTACATGTCAAATGGCATGAGCAGTTTGACACAAACAGGAGGTCTCCGGATTGCCAACGTGGAAGTGACCCCCAGTTTTGTGTCAAATAACTTAAACGGTTCACCACAGAACCGGAGGAAGAAGCCGACCACCTTCTAACATCATAACCACTACCATGGGCTGTATCAGGGTGAGTTGAACTGCTGAGACAAAGTTTGCCAACAGGAGGAAGAAGACATTCAAGAAGACACATTGATACTATATACTTGCATGTCTTTCCTTCTTTATTATGCTCCTGTCTACCTCCTGTGAGTCAATCCCAGGGACAGCAGCAGGTAAGTTTAGGACTCTGTGAGAAGTATTTCTCCACATCTGGAAATGCCGTGGTTTAAGGCTTTTCAGGCTATGAGTGTGTTAATCGTGTTTGCATCATATTTGCCTTTGCAAAAATATTATGCATGGCAGTGGTGAAATAGGCTTCAGCTGTATTAAAACAATTTTTTGAAATATTTTTGGTAAAATATGAAAATTTTGATTTACATTTTGTTTGATTTCAGGTAAGTCTGCTTATAAGACTTATAAGAAACATCACAATTGCATTGCCATTACTACTGCAAAGGATTCTGGGTGGGTGTATGCAAATGAGTTCAAGAACCATCTTTTTGCCTCATTAATTTCAGTTTATACATGGTTTATATGTCTGAGTATATGTCTGCTGTAAACAACAGCTTGTAAACACAACTTAGGAGAGGTGCAAATACAGATAACCTTATATAGACAGCTGTTTCGTTGTTAAAAGGATACTGTAGTGCCAGGAATACAAAGCTGTTGCTCCCCCTGCCTCCACACGCCCACGCATCCCCCTCCGGTAAATAAGAGTTAAAATAACTATTTACTTACCCTTTTCCCAGCGTCAAGGGTCGACGCTCTGCCCCCTCCTCTGCCCCGTCAGATCCCGGACCAAAGGTCTGTTTCAATTCAGGAAGCACTCTAGATTGCAGCCCTAAGTCTGCCCTCAGTGGCTGCCACTAAACACTGCAGTTTATATGGAAACATTGCAGCACTTGGTGCAAAAGGGACACTGCACCCATACCACTTCAATTAGCAGAAGTGGTCTCGGTGCCTTCAGTGTCTCTTTAAATCAACTCATCAGCATAAGGTTGTACTTGTGGAGCACAAACCAATAGAGTTATGGTGGGGGGAGAAAGATGATGGAAAGCCCCTTCCACCAGAAAAATCAGTGGATAGTAAGTACATTGTTAAACACAAATATATAGTATTACACTTTATAGTGCTGGGAAGCATGAGGGTAGTAGATTTTTCAGTTTTATGGGGGGCAGAGTGCAAGGCCTTAATACACACACACACACACACAAAACGAGAAAGACCTCCAAGCTCTTCTAGCAACAGCAGAGGCACCAAGAAGAATGTTAAAATACCAAGTTCAAGATCATTATCAAGTAGAGGACCATACAAGCACAGATAATGCTCAGTAATGAGGACATTGATTACATTCTACAAAGCAAGAATTTTTTGCTTCTGTGTAACCAAACACTGAGTGCAGTCAGATGAGAATAGGAGCACAGTTATTCATGAAATAAACAAGATCCATTGTACATATGGAATATTGTGTTCCAGGGATTAGTCAAGGATTATATGTTTTCAGTGACATTTCTGTGTGGTGCAGGAGCACGGGTAGGAGCTGGAGCAGCAGTTCAAGAGTCCATGAGCTGCCTAATTCTGGTGTTAACCATCTCCTGAAGGGGGCGAAGTCAGGACAAGCCCAACAAATGTAGAGTGCCATGCCAGCTGCAGTCTCACATCTCCAGTACTTGTCTGGTGTGTCTTCATTCATGCGGTGTAGTACATCAGGGGTCCTGTACCAGTGAGACTCTGAGCTGATGGAGCATTTGTAGGCAAGTATGAAGATTTTGTCCAGTCCCCTTCGGTCAGTATGACTCCCGTCTCCCTTCAAAACGGACACCCCAACCCCAGTCCCACAAACCACTAAAGAAAACAGAAACATAACGAACGAACTACCAGAAGAACAAACACGCATCCACCCGCACAGACAATACCACCGAGGTAGGGGGCACCCGTGTCTGGTACCGTTCCGTGTAGAGGGACAACACCCAGGATCGCATATGTGGGCCGAAGCTCATATGATGCAGTGTGGCGTCAAGGCCACCAGATCTAATTTTTCGGCACTGGTGGGGATGAATCCCACCTGGTTAAGTTAGCAGTTTTGTTGTGTATTAGTTCAGTTATGTAGACAAATAAAAATAAAAGTAAATAAAAAACAGAAGATAGTGCTCTCTGTGATGCTGAAATAATATAGTATAACATAAAACACTTTTGGTTTTATTATTCTGTTTACTAATAAAACTTCCTATCTGTATCCTTGAGGATTTTACCTGGAGAACTCTGCATCTCACATTCCTTGGTGGGGAACATACCACCTTGGCAGTTTAGGATTGAGCAATTCCAACTTGCTTTTCCTTTGTGAGTATATCTCCTTTTAGTAATTTAGGATCACAGAAAGCATTATCTTCTGCTTATTTTTCCTTTTAGGTTTATGGACCAGAGACATATCCGGAGACGGGGATTGCACCATCCAGACGCATATATCTGGAGCTGATCTAAAGAAAATTGAAAGTACAATTTCTTTTATTAACCATACCTATACCCTGAATACTACACTATATTTGGGTTTTTGTTCCACTCAGATCTGGAACCGAGGACCCTATTTAATGCCCAGTGACAGCCAGTCTTGCAGTAAAAGTACCAGTAGGGTTAAATCCCTGCTGATAACAAGAACCCCTAGGTATATATGGATACATGGGGCTCCCCTCTATCAGCTGGGTCCAGAATTAGTGGGCACAGACTGTCCTATGCTCTGTTTGCAAAAGCTCAAAGTAAGCCCTATTGCTTTTTTAAATCCCTATTGCTACAATGTGGTGTTAGCAGAGTTAAATCCCTGTAATAAAAAATATACAAATAATGATGATATGCCAACGAAAAGCATAACACAACACTTCACAATAATGTGCATTCTCTTCAAGCTCTTAAATGATATGTGGCTGGATAGACGCCAGTCAAATTCTGAGATTTGTTTACCATTCTGGTAAATGTGCCCCAGGACAGTTCTAAAATTAATGTCTCATCTATTTTAAATATACACTGATCACATTACAGAACTTTAACATTATGAGGATGACTATAATGCAGAACAGAAAAATTCCCACTTGCACCGAAGAGCAATTCAGTTAAGTATTTAAAATGACAACTGTCACAAAACATGTCTCAATATAATGAAAACAGCATTTGTGTGAGACCTTTTTCTAACACTATCTAATCACAATTACATAGCAACTAGAACTGTAAATTGTGAAGAAAAATACCCCTCTCCATTTAAAAACTATACTTCAGTGACTGAACATAGTGCAATTGCGCATCTTCTTTATTGTAAAGAACAAGGTTTGCGAATCTGATTTATATAAATAGTTCATGTAAGCAGAAAATCTAAGTAGGATAGAATAAAAAAAATTTTTTAAAAATCCCCCCTTCCCATTTTTATAATTTTGGCTTCCCCTTTATATTGTTATGAGCTTCACTGATTAGAGCCCCCTTCATCTCATGTGGATCTATTCACTAAATGCCAAGTGGCAACTGAACCCATTTGAAAATAGAGATTCGTCCAGCTGAATCTGGTTATCATTCACTTGTTAGTGAATCCAGTGAATCACAGTGAATGTAGGAGAACTGAGCTGAATGCAATCAGCAAAAATGAAAAAAATTAATTTGTAATTTAGTGAATGGACACAAAGTAATGGGTTCCAGGTAAGCATTTACACGTGGACAGTTGTGACCTCCTGGGTGCCAAGGATAGATCACTCTCCCTTTTGATTCCTCTCACTCTTCCCTATTGGTGTGTAATCTTTACCCCATTCAACCATCCTCCAGAGGGAAATGAAAATAAGAAAGGAGGAAAGAACTCACACTATCCAAATGAAAAATAACTCAGTGCTTTCCTATGGGGTATTACAGGATGCTGGACGACCTCATGAAAAGCGTTAGAACGTCCAGCGTTGCATCACGGAGTCAAACTCCAAGAAGTGCCTCTAGTAGTAGCCACTAGAGGCAATCATGGCACTGCAATATTAACATGTTTCACATGGCTATAGTGTCCCTTTAAGAAGAAAATCATACAGGAATATTACAGTTTGTGAAACTAATATTACCAAAGAGGGTACCGACATGAACAGAAGTAACCCAGTGTGAGACTTCTGTCACTGAGATCACTACTTCTTTTATAGGTCAGTGTCATGACTGATGCCACACAGCCATACCTACACTTGCTGAAGTGTCAATCTGAGAAGTGATCAGAAGTATAGCAGAGAAAAAAAAATAGAAACTGCAACTAAATTGAAAAATGTTAACTGTTGAGCGTGGGAGACAGCAGATTGGCTTTCAAGTTAGCAGCATGTTGTCAAGGTAACAAATTAAAAGAATCTGCTCTATAAAAAGAAGGTGAAAAAAAAAAAAAAAAAGCATATTTTCTGATTTCAAGCTTTTAAAAGTATTTATCCACAATGCTACAAATTCATTACTGAGGCCACGTGAGATCAGAGCATTTGAGCATAATGCTTTAGATTTGGAACATAAAGCATACGTTCCTGGTATACTGCAGTGCACTTGAATAATTCAAATAAGCTGTCCAGCATCGCCTAGTATTTGTTCATTTGACAATGTTTGAGGTCATACTAGTTAGTGCTTCTGGGAAATCAAACGGTGTTAGCTGCCAATCAGAAAATATCACCACCTGAAGAGATGTAATAGAATGAAAGTATTTCAACGAGTTTTTGGTGGAGGAATAGAGAAAAAAATATATCAAAATATTCTGTTTAAAAGGAACCTGTTATTTCTCTGGGAATTACACCACCCAATAAGATATTGATAACCATCTATAACTTGCGTTACCTGCTTTATTTCCTCATGTGACAGTCTTTTTTTATATTAAAAGCTTAGCAAATTAAATTTCAAAAATGTCATACCAGGCAAAGCCAGCAGGCTAGAAAGAGAAAATAAAACACTGAAGGTTAAAAAGAAAGCCTGGAGAGCAGTAGCCATGAAAAAAAAAAAAAAAAAAGTTCCCGCTGATTGCGCCACATTTACAAAATTTTTTACTCAGAATTGCTCTTTATAATAATCATAGTCCACCCCACCCCCATGGTTTCATTTTTCCTCTCTTCTCTATGGTGACTGTCAGGTGCACCTCTCAAATGCATATTTCGTAAAGGAACACCATGGTGTTAGGAATACAAACCTATATTCCTAGTTCATAATTAACCCCTTCAGGACCGGCCTGTTTTTGCCATGTTGTACGTTAAGGACCAGGGCTCTTTTAACAATTTTGTGGTGTTTGTGTTTAGCTGTAATTTTCTTCTCTCATATTTACTGTTCCCATAGTTATATATTGGGTTTTTTCAGGACAAAAAGGGCTTTCTTTACATATCATTATTTGTATCATGTCATATAATTTACTTTCAAAAATAATAATAAAATAGTGAAAAATTGAAAAGAAAAAAAAAAAGTTATAGGGCTATAAGTACTTTGTGACAAAGTGGATTCTAAAATAGACTGGACATACCCCATTTGCAATACCTTTGGTTGTCTTCTTTTGCAAATGGTATACCATCATGGGGGTAATTCTCATTCCTGGGCTACCATACGGTCTCAAAGGCAACATAACCAACCTGGCAATTTTCAATGTAAAATATTTGACCCTGTAACTTTCAAAACGCTATAAAACCTGTACATGGGGGATGGGGGCGTGGGGGACTGTTATACTCGGGAGACTTTGCTGAACACAAATATTAGTGTTTCAAAACAGTAAAACGTATCACAACAATATCATCAGTAAAAGTGCAGTTTGTGTGTGAAAAATGCAAAAAAAAGTAACTTTCACTGACAATATCATCACTGTGATATGCTTTACTGTTTTGTATCACTAATATTTGTGTTCAGCGAAGTCTCCCGAGTAAAACAGTACCCCCCCATGTACAGGTTTTAGGGTGTCATAGAAAGATACAGGGTAAAATACAGTGCTAGCAAATTAATTTCTCTGGACTTTCATCTTGTGTTGTCAGACAGGTCCCACAAATGGCAATCAATAAAATGACTTAATTATTTAAAAATATTACATAAATATGCATGTAGAATTTAAATATATATGCATATTTATATAATTATTTATGCAATTTTGTATACGGACATATGTATATTTCGTATTGTTTTTATTTATGTATTTATATATACATATACAATTTCATTCTAAGTGTATTTTGATATAAATATATTAATATCAAAATACAGTTAGAATTAAATTTCATATAGACATAATTTTTTTAAATTATTTTTACATTTAATTTAATTTACTTATTTGTATTTTATAATATATAGTTATTATATAGTGTGTGTGTAATTTAATTATAAGTGTATTTTTATATTAATATATGTATATATTAATATAAAAATACACTTAGTATGACATCGTATGTGAGATTATATAGATATGACATTTTTATATATAGGCAGTCCCCCTGCAGGCAGACACTAGGACATCTATTGTGACCATGTGACCACTCTGTTGAGCGATCACATGGCCCCGGGGTCCTAATTCGCCGCGGAGCAACGACGGCGATCGGGTAAGTACATCTTACCGTTATGACGGTTCAGGACCGTCATTGGTCCTCAACGGTAAAATACCGATGACTGTCCTGAACCGTCCGCGGTCCCCAAGGGGTTAAGCTAGTGCCCCCTCCCCCACATCAATTAAAAAAAAAGTCTTCACTCGGCATAGACTCCTTTGGCACTGCCGCCGAACACTCCGCCTCTCACGATGTCACTGAATCCAATGGTCCTCATAGAGTAGCAGTTGGGGCTTCAAATGAAGGTACAGCAAGAGTCTCACACGCATCTATTGATTCTGATCCATTTAACCCAACACTTTTCTATGAGCAGCAATGTTACATGACCAAGTTTTACTTGGTGGTTGTTGAGGAAGCATCTCTAGTGGCTTCTGTAAAATGGCATTGTTTTAACTTGAATGGTTAAAACTTCAGGACCACTGAACCCAGACCACTTCATTGAGATTAAGTGATCAGGGTGACTTTGGCGGTCCTTTAAATGTAGAGGAAAAGTATACATTTTATAAAAAATCCTGGGTATTATTATTATTGCAATTTATATAGCGCCAACAGATTCCGTAGCGCTTTACAATATTATTAGAGGGGGGATTTGACTATAAATAGGACAATTACAAGAAAACTTACAGAAACAAGCTTACAGTCTATAGGAGGTGGGGTATAAAACACATTAGGACAGGAAATAGAAGTTAAATTAGGTGGGAGTGGAGCAGAGCTGGAGAAGAGAGTAGAGTGCTGCCCTTTAGGAGAGAGCAAGAGACAGGTATGTGAGGTAGAGGTTAGTCTGGGAGGCCATAGGCTTTCCTAAAGAAATTAGTTTTAAGGCACTTCTTAAATGATTGAAGACTAGGGGAGAGTCTGATGGTAGTAGGCAGGCTATTCCATAGGATGGGAGCCGCCCGGGAAAAGCCTTGCAAGCGCGAGTAGTAGTGACAGTTCCTCTTTAAAGGGCAAGCATGCTACCATATACAATCCAGTTATTTAGGTATGGGAATTTATGGATAGGGAAAAACGTTGAAGCCTATCTAAGGCTTAAAGAATACAAACAATGTTAATACTAGGAAAGACATACAAATTCCTAAGTAGAATAACAAAAGTACTTAGATATACCTAAAAACTAAAAATTGAGAAGACACCTTATCTCTATCTATTCATGTTAGCAGACATGCAGAAGCTGTAGTAAAGGACATGAGTACCAGAAGTTGGTCTCCAATTTGAACATTTCTCATCTAGAATCAGCAAAGTTATAGTGCAATAGTCCCTTGTAGTCAATCAAACTTTGTTACAAAAAAAACAAAAAAAACTTATGAGTTGTTTGTCCATAGTGTTGAATTATCCTTGGTCCATCAATAGAAATGAAAGAGCAATATTTCAGCAAAGTCTACAAGAACCACTTCAATATTGCTCTGATCACTTTGAGGTAAAACTGAATGTCGCAGCACTGCCCCAGGAAGCACCTCTAGTAGTCAATTGAGGAATGGCCAGTCGAGGTATCCCTACGCTGAAATATATTCTCTGAAAAAACAATGTTTACTGCAAAAAGCCAGAAGGGAATGATTCTACTCACCAGAACAGATACAATAAGCTGTAGTTGATAAATGTTAACAGTTTCACATAGCTCACAAATCTGTTTATTTTCACATTTACGTTTTTGGGTGTCAGGAAACAGGCGTCACCAAAGGAATAATTAGTGTCATAACTTAAATGCCTCATGAAAAAAAAATATTACTTAGCATGCTCTAGTAAAGAATGGGTCTGAGTGCAATCACACACAAGATGGAAAAATCAGATTGAGGCATGGTTACAGCATATTCCAAACGTATATAATATACAATAGTGGATCTTCTACCTACTTAAAGTGGTCTTCATTATTAAATTTTGCACAGGTGTAATAAAATAAATCATTGTGCATATCCACTAATGGGAAAAATGATTTCAATCTTGCTGGTAGAGCATAAAAACCCTGCCAATTCTTAAAGACTGTACAAAGTGGTTTCAATTATTGAGAACAGAGGGTGAAGCTGGATGTAGGGACACTCAAGTGCTTTGCAAGCCATGCAAATTAAATATGGGAAGACGAGAACAAGATTGGAAGCTACTCCTGAAGACTATGTGCATTAACTCCTGCATCTATCTGCATTTATTAACAGACATGTCTATTTATCCTCACAGGGCTGTCACTTTGCGAGATTACAAGTAAACATGGTATATTTGCAAAAGATTGTGTTTCGGATTCTTTAAATGTACAATAACGCATAAATAATAAAGTGGGGTTGGAAGGCCAGTTATGCCCAGTTTCCACTGAGCGGTTCGGGTCGGTATGGTCTGGTAAGCTATTTTGAGTGTTTTCATTATAAAAGTGGCTCATACAACCAAACCAAACCTCACCATTCCTGGGCCCCCTTCAGATGTAGGTCCATAAGAAATGGTACGGTAAAGGCAGAGCTACTGACATCACACTATCCAATCCATTGACTGACAGGAAAACTTCAATGCTCACGACAAATGACACGGTAGGCCAGTGATGGCAAACCTTTTTGAGCCTGAGTGCCCAAACCGCAATACATGCCAACTTTTTTCCCTCAAAGTGCCAACACGGCAATTAATCCTGAATATTGAGGTTTAAGTTTAGAAAAAACAACTGATACAGTTGTCCGAACTAATTAACAACTTTTGTTTTAAAAGAAGAACACAGAGAGTTCAATGATACAAATTTTAAATAATGATATAAATAGATAAAATTAAGCTTATATTTATTAGTATCTCCAACAAATGCAATACACGCACACACAGTCCACTGAACGCACGTGCACACAGACACAGAGTCCGCTGAACACACAGAGAGAGAGAGAGAGAGAGAGAGAGAGAGAGAGACAGAGTCCGCTGAACACACACACACACAGTCCACTGAAAACACACACACACACAGTCCGCTGAGTACATACACAGACTGCTGAGTACATACACACTGTATTGAGGGGTGCAGTTTGTGTGAAAGGGTGTGGAGTGTGTGAGGGGTGCTGTGTGTTTGTGTGGGCTGGGTGTGGGGGGTTAGGGGTTCTGTGTGTGTGGGGGGGTAGGGGTGCTGTGTGTGTGGGGGGGTAAGGGTGCTGTGTGTGTGTGGGGGGGTAGGGTGCTGTGTGTGTGTGGGGGGTAGGGGTGCTGTGTGTGTGTGGGGGTAGGTGCTGTGTGTGTGTGGGGGGAGTAGGGGTGCTGTGTGTGTGGGGGGTAGGGTGCTGTGTGTGTGTGGGGGAGTAGGGGTGATGTGTGTGTGGGGGTAGGGGTGCTGTGTGTGTGTGGGGGGGGGGGTAAATGTTATTTATACATGTACAAGAATGCACTTACAGACAGGTATATTGTCATGAGCATATCTCCACTCAATATGTATATATTTCATTTGTTCATTATACGCAGTATGTCAGTAGGATTCAATGAAAGAATAAAATATATGCATATTGTGTGTGTGTGTGTGTGTGTAATATATATATACATATATACACATACACACACACAATATGCATATATTTTATTCTTTCATTACACGCAGTATGTCAGTAGGGTTCAACATTGACTATTTTTTATTTTTTTGCTTTTTCCCCGTCTAGATTGTGTGTTGTCCGTTGCTGCGTGTGCGCATGTGTTTTCCTTGCAGAAGCATGCGCAGTATCTTTTTGTATTTGAATGCTATATTCATATGAACCATCGCGTCACCCATTCTTCTACTGGCCGCATGGAATACACGTCATTGCGGTCCACAGTGGAACGCACGCCATCAGGTGAAACGGATCCACTGGGACAAGCCACAGTATAAGAAGTCTCCACCATGGTGAACCATCACAGATCCTTAAGGAAGTCCCCCATTGGACAAAACGCGTTGGACTTTATAATATTTGGACTTTTATCAATTGTATTTTATTTTAATTTTTATCATCCTGCTGCTGTTGGTATTTTTTCCTGAGATCTACCACGCTGCTGCTGCTGCTGCATTCCACGTTGAGTGGAGATATGAGCATGACAATATACCTGTCTGTAAGTGCATTCTAATAAATCTTTTTCATGTTTTAATTTTACTTCACCATGTGCGGTCTTTTTTCCCCTTATCCATATAAGGAGTTTCATCATTTGAAGACCTTCCCTTTTTCCTGATTCGTTTAACCCCTGGTGGGGTGAGAAGCCTGTTTTTCATCACGTTTGTGAGTTTTCTACTAAGACCACATATTTATATTTAATTCTGACTGAATTACGCTATGTTCTATTTGTGTTTATTATTATTATTATAGATCTCCATTTGATCTACTCACCCTGGTCCCCATCTCCAGGTTGTCCTTTTTAATTTTATATATGTATACTGGGTGTTTTTTCCCCACTTTTATTGTATAATAGGTGTCTGTGAGTTACACCTGGGAACACTTCTAGTTTTGTACTTATATCATTCTGTTTATCCTAGTGTGTATATTCCTTTTGGTTTTCATTATATTACAATTACCCTTAGCAAGAAGATTATTTCCCTTGGAAACCTATGTGCATTGTATTATATCTTGTAAGCCTACTAAAGCACATATTATTAAAGGGATGCCTAGACACCATAACCACTAGAGCCTGCTGTATTAGTTATGGTGCCAAGAGTCCTCTGGTACTAACTCACAGTAAGTAATCTAAACCTCTGCAGGAAAGGATATCCTGCATTAGATATCAAAAGAGGAGGCGTGACCTAAAAAAAGAAGTATAATGAGAAAGGGTGGATTTAACTTTATGGTACATTCATTCATTGAAAAAAAACAAACAAAAAAAAAACAACAACATTGAAGAGATCCTGACAGGTTTCAGGCATATGGTTTGAATAGGTACTGAACATACTACATCAAGCATGTTAAACTCAAAATCTAGTACGGGCCACATAAACAAGGTTTAAGTTTATGTGGGAACCCCCCCCCAAAAAAAACCAAAAACATTTCATAAAATTTTTTTTACATTTTCATAGAAAGTAGGTTTCTTTTGAAAAGTACGATATATTAAAAAAAACAAAAACAAAAAAAAACAGCATCCCCCTCTACTAAACCACAGCACCACCTTCTACTAAATCCCAGTCCCCGTCCCCCCCATATACTAAATACCATACCCCCCGCCAATCAGTCTCCACTAAAATTGCCGCTGCCAGTATGCAACTCCGGAGTCCGGCCTCTGGTACACCCCAAATGGGGCCGTCCGCACCCTGTGCCAAATCTGATCCTCTTGCTACATCTTGAAACCCTGTGAAGGTGGAGCATGTCGATGTCACGTCGGAATGTGACGTGGCGTTGTATGCCTCCATGCACCTCCAGGTACTCTACTGTCCAGTCGCAACCAATGCAACACTAACCAACACACACAGACACTCACTCATTGACAAGCACACACACACACAAACATTTACACATTCTTGCACACACATTTTCTTTATTGCTTCCTACCTTTGGGAGACAAGGTGGGGCCTCTGAGGATCTTCTATCTGCTCCTCGCTGCTCCCTCACGCGGTTTAGTGATGCCGGGTGCCCGGCTTCACTACAGACGGCTCGCACAAGGGAGCAGGAATACTGAGCTCCCTCGCTGGCCCGCCTCTCTGGCCAGGGAGGTTTTAGCAGAGTTGCAATGTGGGGAAAGCAGGTGCCTGCTCTGCTTTGACACCAAGCATGTACTTGCGGCTCGCTGTGCCGCAAAAATGCCCATTGTGGGCCGCATGCGGCCTGCAAGTTTGACGTGCTTGTACTACATCCTGTAGCATCAGATTGTGAACTTTGCTAATGGCTAACATTTTACACTTCCATAAGCAGCTAGCTGAGTTTGAATCAGATTATCACATTCTGGGGCCTATTTACTAAATTCCGAATGACACTATATCAAACAGGGCAAAACCATTTAGTTGTTTATGGAGCCATTCGTACTGCAAAAATCAGATATTGTTCACAGTATTTAACAATGTCCTGATTTTGCAGAGCAGTCTCCGAATGAGCTTCTCACAGGACATAATACTCAGAGCTTCTCATAGTACAACTCATTGAGAAGTGGGCTCTGTGGAGCCAACAGAAGCAGAACAAAACCTCCTGGATTGGTAAGTAGCAGACAGAAAGGTGTTTCACAAATACGACATACTCCAGGCACATGAAACACCGTCAGCAAAAGTGCTTTATGTGTCAGGAGTACTTAAAGAACCACTATAGTGCCAGCAAAACATACTTGTTTTCCTGGCACTATAGTGCCCTGAGGGTCCCCCTCCCGCCGGGGTTAAACTCACCTCATTCTCCAGCGCCGGGCAGGGAGCTCTCCTCCTCCTCCTCGGCTCAATGAGCATGCGCGGCAGGAGCTTCGCGTGCATTCAGCCAGTCCATAGGAAAGCATTCACAATGCTTTCCTATGGACGCTGGCGTCTTCTCACTGTGAAAATCACAGTAAGAAGCACGCAAGCGCCTCTAGCAGCTGTCAAGAGACAGCCACTGGAGGCTGGATTAACCCTATTATAAACATAGAAGTTTCTCTGAAACTGCTATGTTTATATATTAAAAAAAAATAAAATAAAAAAGGGTTAACCCTAGCTGGACTTGGCACCCAGACAACTTCATTAAGCTGAAGTGGTCTGGGCGCCTATAGTGGTCCTTTAATTAAAACAGCAAGATAATGCAGTAGTAATATAAATCCAAGCAGTAGAAGACAGTTAGTAGAAGCAACAATTGTTACACATTAAAACTATCAGAATCGGCTCAGTCCACAGAGTCACAGCGTGGAGTTTCACCATTTTAAAGCTACACACAGCAGGAAAAAATATCAAGCAGGGCCACTGAGCATTGGTCAGCTGCGCCTACACTGTCCAATGTGCAGTAGTAGTTATTAAACCACTAGTGACAGAAAGCACAGTGCTCAGGGTGCTGTCCATAGCTTGCTCTCCCTCTGTGGAAGACAGTTCTCCGACCAAAATACTACAACATGGGACATAATACATATCAGACTGCAGGAAAATAATACAAAATGGACATAATAAATATCAGACTGCATGAATTGAGGTTTCTAGCAGCCTGAATGACAGCTCGGAGGGACTGGCTTAGTGCTGCAGCAATTTTTACAAATCACTGGAGTTCTGAGTCATTCTGAGCTGAGAGTAAGCTCATGGTGCTATATGCACCATCAACCTAGCGCTTTAACACAAATATGTGTAATATATATCCAATCAGCTTATAAACAATGCTATCTCTTAGCCGATTTTAATGAGAACACGAAGATAGATTAATTTTATATTCAAACAATGTCGAATATTCAGTGGCTTTTACATAAATTGGCTCTGTCACCATCTGTGGTCTTCAAATTTTGCATTTTTTTTCTTGGACAAACAGAAATTTGCACCTACTTTGCCTTGGAATAGCTTTTGACAGAGGTGGAAATACAATGAAATTGAATTTTATTAAATACAAAGTGAATGAGCAGCTTTAGAAAGAGACTATAGTGTTGGGAATGCATGGTTACACCTGCTCATGAAGGAAAAAGGTGACTTTATTGACCTTTTCTCCCTTGCAGCGCCGGTCTCCACACTACCGTCCCGCCTTCATAGGAAAGCATTGGGAGGCTAGTGCGCAAATGCTACACCTATCAGATGGACTCAGACCATCTGATAAAAATAGTTGAGTTTTACTTGGCTATTTTGGAGAAAGCACATCTAGTGGCTCTCAAAATGACAGCCACCAGAGGCATTTAAACCCTGTAATGCAAACATTGTAGCAGCAGAGTTTTATTTTGCAGGGTTAAGTAGACAAGGAACATGGCACCCCGACCACTTCGTTGAGAAACAGGTCTGGATGCCAATAGCATGCCTTTAATAAAAGCATGCAGAATCCTTAGTTTTATTATTACTACTAGCATTTATAAAACTCCAACATAATGCTCAGTAATGTACTATTGGAGAAAAAAAAAAAAAAAAAAAGTACAGTCTACATCGACCAATAAAAAGGTAACAAAGGCCCCCCGCCCCCCCATCTGATGGTTGCAGATATCAGAACTTGTGCTGCCATTCTTATAATGCTGCAAACAGCACTGACAAAGGCATACGTTGTAAGCCCTCATTATGTTTTGATCATTACACTTATATAATCAGTAATGGTTAGACAAACTAAATTCTAGAACCAGGGCTTGAAATCTAGGAGCCAGGATTTTCAATGTCAAAAAAATACAATTCTTAAAAAGCCACTATAGTCACCAGAATCACTGCAGTTTAATGCCGTTGTTTTTTAGTCTATATCCTGCTCCTGCACGCTTTTCAATATAAACACCGCTGACTTTTCAGACAAAGGCAGTGTTTATATTGCTGCTTGATAACACCTCTAGTGTCACTCAGTGTTTTCCTGGCACTATAGCTTCCCCCTCTGTGGTGCAGAAGGTGTTAACCAGCGCATGCACAATAGTCTCCTAATGCTTTCCTATGGGGAAGCACTAGATTGGAGAGATCGTCAAGATTGATGATCTCAGCCATGGAGGTGGGGCCAGCTGCAGTGTCACCAGCACGGCGTGGGAAAAAAGGCAAGTATAAAAAAACCTTTCCCATGTGATTAGAGGGGGCCAGGCCACATAAACATACACACACTGATTTGATACATTTACTCACAAATGATAACTTTTTTTAATTTTAATTTAAAACCACCCAGAGTTGGAGTGGATCAGCTTATCCTGGGCCCAATGGGGCTGCTGTCATCTCACTGCTCTGTTCCCTAGAGTGCTGTTTAGTGAACCGGGTGCAGGACTGACGTGATAACCTGGCATCACCGGAGGACAGATAAAGGCGATTAGAACTCCCTTACCGCCGCACTTAATCAGCCGCAGACCTGCCTGCCTCCCTCAACCCTCCAGGAGCCACCTGACCATCCACCTACCTGCCTCAGCCATTCGTATGCCTACTGCTCGCTTCCGCTCTCAGACAGTCTGACACCTCGGGATTGAACAGGCTCACAAATCCCTGGGAATTGTCGAGCCCTGTTCTTACACTCACAGGCATAGATCAAAACATGAATTTCTTGTTATAGCCAACATGAAGAAAACAATCTTGTACACTTATACCAGGTTACATATTAGCTGTATTTGAGTTTTAAAGTAACATTCAAAACACCATACCTCAGGAATGTGGAATATATACTGCCCGACGTCCAGGACATGCAGCTCTGAGCGCTAGTATAAGACTTTTTCCCCCTACATTTTTTTTTTGTCTAAAATTGGGGATCGTCTTATACATGGAATGTCACTGCAGGGGTTAAAAAAAACAATGTGTGTGCAGCCTAAGCAAAGATGGCACTTGCCGCGTTTCAGTATGCCACAGCCCACACACTCACTGGGTTTCCCTCCCGCCGATTCACTCACCAGGCCTCCGAGCTCTGTGGCCCCATAGTAAGAGCCAAGCCAAGATAGATCAGCAAGTCTCTTGGTGGCCGCCACGTGGATGCCTGTGCTGTTGCAGGGGGATCAGGAGTAGCTGCTTTTCAGTGTCATACTGGTAACGTGGTCTCCCTCCTGCCGACTCACTCACCTGGACTCCGAGTCCTGCAGCTCCATAGTGAGAGCACTTTTGAATTTTGTGGCAAGAAGCACATCTCAGAGCCAGCACACATATCAAATACATAGTGTGTTTTGGCTGTGTGTCATGTGTATTCTAGCTGCATGTCACACACCACACATACAGAAGATACAGGCATCACACACACATCACATATCGCCAGGACACAATGCCCCACACATAACCGTGCAAACATCACAAAAGGCCAGGACATAACAGCACACATGACATGCAAATAGCACACACTGTACACACTATGAAAAAGGGGAGAGACTATGGGAGAACAGAGGGTAATACACTCAGGATAATTCGCCAGATTGCAAAATAAATCCAAAAGGGAAAACTGAGGCAAAATAGCCATGTAGTGAATATAGCAGAGTTAGAGAATTTTTCCACATTAGTTATTAATGCTGTCATTTTTCCTTTCAGATTTACTTTATGAAAATTCATAGCTCAGGTCACTGTCCAGGGCATTTGGCCATGAAAGGATGTTGTGCCAGGATAAGTAGATTGGGCTACCACTTTAGTCCACCCATGGTAACCACTACTGCACTTTGTGCCCTGGCATGATCCCAGAGAAATCCGTTTTAGAATGGTCTGGCAACTTAGATTGGTCTCCCAGGTACCTGTGCAACACCTAGCTCTTTCTGCAGGAAATAAATGGATGTCTCACTCAGCTGAAGCACCACATTCACTGGCAGAGAGGGCTCCGTTGACACATTCAGCTAATGAGGCCAAGGCAGGCTGTCCCGCAAGTAGAATCCAGAAGTAAGAGGTGTAGGTGCCCGGGGAAACAAAGTCAGCTTATCAAACCATTCCAAAAAATTAGATAAGTTACTGTTAGAGGACATCAGGTCACTCTTTCCAACATAACCACAACAATATGATGTAGTGGTTATGGTGCTTGGAGTGTTTCTATAACTTGATAGTATGTATTATTTGATTGGGTCTGTGTTTACGCTGGTTAGGATTTTAGAATTGTAGATCCTTTTATCAGCGATAAAACCACAGGGTCCACTATATTCCTGCAGCTCACACTATTAATGAAGGTAATGAGCGCTATTGGGCCTGAATTGTGAAAGCCTGTGGGATTCCGGATTAAATCACGTTATGTCCCCGGGATGCAGGGCTTGTCACACGCTCCCCATCACTATGCAGGGCGCTGTGTTAGCAATCAGCGATACTATCAGCCAGCCAGCCAGCCAGCCCGGGCTCCCCGTGTCTCTGCCGCCCCCCCCTCCCCAGCACTCACCTTCACCGCCACCTCGGGCGCAGTATCCACCACCCGCAGAGCGCCGGCTCCCGGCGGCAGGGGTTTCAGGTGAGAGCCGCTCTCCAGCTCCTCGGACTCGGACCCTGTCTCGGAACCGCTGCTGTACGACACCAAGGAAGACACGGCCGCCATGATGGCACCGGAAGTGTGTCGCACGAGCTCCGCCGCACTGCACCCTGGGAGAATCCCAACCACGGGAGAAGGGGGTGGACCTGTGAGACGCATCGATTTGCGTGTTAACAAATCTCAATAAAGCTTGGAAGAAAAAAAAAAACAACAAACCGTTGTATTCCTGTGTATATAGGAATGCACCTTCACACATAGATATATATATATATAAATTATAAAAAATAAAATCATGTGATAGTAACCTTTTTATTTTATGTATGATTATAACATTGTCATGAGATGGTGGAGCAGCCGCTGCTGTTAAAGGTTAATACCGACCAGGGAATGGGCCTGAGGTGACGTCACAGCTCCAGCTCCCCCACCTGAATCCTAGAGAACAGATAGACCGTACCGGAGTGAGCTGCAGATTGATGGGCTGTACCACCCTGCTAGGGGGGGGAGGGAGGTACTGCTATCTCACACCCTCATCGCCCTATAGTGTGTCACTCTCACCAGCAGGGCAATGTTCACAGAGCGCTCCTAACCCCCAGCCCCGCTGGCAGCGCATGTTATCACAGCAGGTGGTGTGGGAGAAACGGGATACGGACCGGATTCACAGCGACCCTCCTCCCCCTTCCTCCCATTGTTGACCTGCTCCCGCCCCTCTCTCCCATCACAAGCTCCTGCTGCAGGGCAGGCAGGCTGGCTGGCTGGCTGGTGAGTGCACGGGCTGGCTCTCCCTGTGTGCCATACAGCCTGGCTTATCGGACGATGCCTGGCTCCGGGGCCAAGGGTCTGAGAATCCATTAACCAGCGGCAGCCATAGGCTCAGCTTGGGACCATTGAGGATTTATCAGGGAACAGAGGATGTTCTGAGGAGGCTCCATTCATCGTATGTATTCCTATATCTGGGATATACCTTGCAGTATCGGTGTACACTCTCTGCATGCTGTACAGCCCGCACACGGGGCAACATTCCATTTCGAATGTTCTGTTTTAGCTGACATTCTAAGGATTTTCTTTCGCTATTAGAATTGAGATCTGAATGGCAAAATTGATGCAAAAATAGCTGAGCTGAAAAAATATATATCTATAATTTAGGTATAGCCATAGCTTGGCTAATTAGCCTCAGTTTTGGCTTTCAGAATTTTAGTTTAGTGAATAAACCGCCTAAGGATTGGGGAGACTGTAACTTTAAGAATCTGGTGCTCACTGGCAAATTGGTGTGGTGGGTAGCTCACGGTCAGTCATGTGCAGAATTTAAAACATGACAGCCACAGACCTGTCAAAAAAAGAGTATGCAAATCATGTTGTGGTTAAACAAAATAATCCTGAAAATGTATCTTTTTTCACATATATATTAGTCTTGGATGAGATGCATACATTGAATATTAGACAGGTGTATGCATATAACCTGTCTGTTGGAATGCAAAAAATGCTTACAGGGCATGGCAAATCTGGTTCTTACTCCTCTAGTCTTTGTTATTTATTAATGTTTGTGTGTGTTATTGAATTTTATTTTTTGCTTTTTTTTTTTGACAGTGGTGAAAAAAACTATCTTGTCCCTTCGTTGAGAGGCAAATTAATGTATTAGCTAGACTTTTATATGTGGTTTGTGTATCCCTCCCTGTCCTTGGTTTGTCCTGCTCCAATATACATTTCTTGTGTTTCTGGTATTTCTTGATGTCTCTGTTTTGCATGCTGTCAAATGGGTGTCATTGTCATTCATGCTATGGGATATGATTGACCTTTTTGTGGTGCACAGACATTCAACATCTGTGATGGCTACACTGAACAACCCAGATGTTTGTAAATTGGATTTGCCTTGTTGCTCAATGAAATGTATTTTACGAACATCTGTAGTGTCAGGATTAGCCATCTCTGTTCTAATAATTTATGTATACCATAACATTTGTTCTTATTCTGATTTCCTAAAAAGGAATAAATTGTTATCATTAACATGCTAATTCTCAAGGTTTCATTTAAACATCAAAGGTTCCTGTGCCTATGTAGTAATTTTTTAATTGTAATTATGTTTACCATGTTCTCTTACCTAGAGACCTGTCTATGAACTGTTGTGAAAACTGTTCCTTATAAGCTATTGTTTCTATATGTACTACAAGTAAATTATCTATGATATACTGGGCTGGTCAGAAAGTCAAAGTCCATTTAACATGAATGTGGGCTGTTTCGTCATTCAGCAAGGTAGAATGAGTTGGAAATGTTTTGAGTAAAAAAAAAAATAATAATAATATTTGCTGCACTCATTGAAATATTTAAGCTAAGGGGCTTCTATAAAGGTGTCATCCTTCCTGATGGGAACTCGTGTACCCCAAAGTTGTTTAATTACATTTGCTTAGGGGAGTCTTTCGGGAGCCTCATATAAATGTCTTTTGCCTTTTTTAAAACAATTTTTTATTAGTATAGCATTGTGAACATATCCTGTATATTTTAGCTGTATGACATCAACTGCAAACATAAACCTGCATTTTACTGTGTGCGCAGGCAAGGTGTGTGTGCCCAGAATATAAATATCGCTGTGTCAGAGACTAGCTCTGGTATCTGATTAAAGCAATCCGATCCTTATTCTCACTCACCCACCCCCACCTGTCCCTTTTCTCTTCCTGGAAGAGGATGGAGTGAGCTTATATGACTCTCCTCGCTATCCTGCCTTTCCTTGTGCATTGTTTGTCAAGAGGCTTGTATGAGTTTTGTCTCTGACAAGATTTGAGGCCTTGATTTTTTTTTTTTTTTTTTCTCTTTAACTATCCGCTGAAAGGATAGACTTGCATTCTGTAAAGATTTAATGTAAAGAAGTGTTGCTGTTTGTGTATAGTGGAACTGATAGCTTGATTCTTAAAAGCAATCTAAATAAGGAATCAAGATTAATGAACAGGCTTTAGATCAGAGTGCTGCTTACATGATTATTTTAAATTTGCAAAAATTAAATCAAATTATTTTGGCTACTCAGCATTATCAGTATAGCCCAATCTGTGCGTTTAGACAACGGTGTTACATTTAAAAAGTATTCCTTCACATTCCATTGCAATAAATTCATGTTATATTAAATAATGCAATTTGTCGATCTTGCTAATAAATGAACCTTTACCCTCATAGTAATGGGAGTGTTAGATTTTTGTGGCTTTTATTTTCACAGGAGCAGGATATCTGTTCAGTCGGCGTTTAAACTGCCTTAGAGTCAAAACCAATCAAACCAAAGTGTTTCTCTGTTTATGTGCGTAGTACATGAATACATGTTTTCTTTGTGAGAATACCCTGTGGGTAGTCAATATTTCTTTAACTATACCTAATGTTTGATTTAATCTCCATGGCGTTAATAAGCACAATGTGTGTATTTTGTTGGCTGAAAATCCAGAAGTATATCATATAGTATACACCATCAATCTATCCATGACTTGCTTGAGCTAATTAAATTTAAAGGGACACTCGACTGCCCAAAAAAAAATAAAATATAAATCACTGTTTTGTAGATTTACCCCCAATGAAAACATGCATGCTTTTAAAAGAACACTAGAGAGTTAGGAATACAAATCTGTATTCCTAAAGCTGTAGTGTCCCTGTCCCCAGATCACCCCCCCACCCCCTTCTTGGTTTGGCTTATAAATGTAAAAAAATGGTTTGTTTATTTTTTACTAATCCAAGGCTCCTTTTGACGCTGCTTACTCTTGCCCCAGTGATGTTACAGATGAGGCAGGGTCTTTTACACTGCTGGTCCAATCCAATGCCCCTCTTAAATTGGCATTGGGGGCCTAATGTGCATTGAGGAGAGGAAAACAGCACCCAGACAATGAATTGGTCAGGGTAACTGTAGTTTTCCTTTAATTACGCATTTTTACATTGGGGGTATATCTACAAACATTTTGCAAAAGCTGCATTTCTCTTGTCTGAAATCCTTTGCAAGCCCTCCCCTACGAACCCCGCACAGACTCTGTGGCAATCCAATCACAGACATTCCAATGCAGCTCAATGAGAAATCTTCATAAGGTAGGTGATCTGGGCAATTGCTGCCTCTTGAGTTTAGCTGCATTTAGGAAGTAACCGGAAGTAACAGAACAGTTTTCTGCGTGAAAGCCGGGGGGGAAATAGGGGTTGTAACAAGGTTAATAAATCTGTAAAATTATCATGCTCATCAACATTTTCTATTGTAGTATTTATATAGCTGTTTGTAAATGACCATCTTTGCAAAAAGACCCTGCTATATTGCACACCATAAATAAACTGGGAATTTCTGGGCTGATCATTTTTTATTTTTTATTCCTTCTAGCTGAATTTGAATTTTTTTTTTAACATTCTCATCTGATTTAAGACTCATTTACCACATTTGTTGGAAAAAAGTTGCATATCATCACAAGCAATTTTCTTACTCCAGATGAAGTATGATTGTCTTGTCAATTTCCAATTTCAAAATGAAATTCTCAGATGAGCAGCCACCATTGCTCTGTGTTAATTTGCTTCTTAAGCATTTGATTAGAAAAGGGGATTAGCCATGCTTTGGACTCCCCTGCTATAGAAGGTTCTTTAAACATATGGAAATATGTATTGAAAATGAACTCTTTTTATCTGTTAGGGTTTATAAAAATAATCACCCTTCTGTTAAATCTGTCTAACCACAACTCCATTGCAAAATATGATTTTTGAGATTTTCTTTCACCTGTTCAGTGTATATATGCAGCCATTTGATGTTTCATGTAATTAATCTCCATTATGGACTGTTTTCCATACACGTGTTACATACCATTTACATTTAAGCTTCAAAGATAGATAGATAGATATATATATATATATATATATATATATATATATATATTTTTTTTTTTTTATTATTATTATAATATTTTTTTTTTAAGAATTAGATGGAATATGACATTTCCAGGAAGGCAAGTATGATGTGAGTAATACAATGCCTTACTGACAGTACCAAGAGTCACTATGCAAAGATCAAAGCCTATTTCTATACATTTTGTATTATTATTTATCTTAATCTATTTCTGAAATTATTTTTTATTTTTCGATTATGTTTTTGTTCTTGGAAGCTTTATTATGTAGCCAATCTTAATTG